CCCCCAAGCACAGCCAGGAGTGATTCCTGAGTGCATGAGCCAGGAGTAACTCCTAAGCATCGCCAGGTATGACCCAAAAAGAAAAAAAAATCTACTTAGACAAAATTACATTTACTCTAAGGGTTACAAAAATTTTTTTGTTTTGCTTTTTGGGTCACCCAGTGATGCACAGGGGTTACTACTGGCTCTGCACTCAGGAATTACCCGTGGCGGTGCTCAGGGGACCATATGGGATGCTGGGAATTGAACCTGGGTTGGCCGCATGCAAAGCAAATGCCCTACCCGCTGTGCTATCACTCCAGCCCCTACAAAAATGTTTTACTTCTTTAAACAATCCATGATCTTAATAAGTCACCAGAGAAGACTCATAGGATCATTGCCACAGGGGTTGGGACTTGCTTCTAGACAAGCAGAAGGCTGGGGATCCAGAGCCTGGCCAGGTGCGGTCTGGCACAGAGTGTCCCCAGTGGCTATGAGTCAGAAGCAGGGTCAGCAGCTAGCCTAGCACAGGGTGACTCTAGCTGGATGGAAGTGGACACAGTAGAAGGCAAGGAAGGGCTCCGAGGGGCTGAGAAGCAGCCAGGGGTGATGTTGCAAGGGCCTTTCGTGCCCTTTGGTCCAAAAGCAAGTTTGAGCTCCAGCTGCAGAAAAGACAGTGGACAAGTCATCCCAAATCAGTCTCAAAGCAGAACCTTGAAGGATAGCACCTCCACATGCACCATCATGACAGCCCACCTGCGTATCAAGCAAGGAGCTCAGGAAACCAGTTTAAGCTGGCTTTTCTCTTCTGTCTTGCTGAAGAGCCATGATATAGTTTTTTTTTCTGTTTTTTTTTTTGGGTCAGACCCAGTAATGGTCAGGGGTTACTCTTGTCTCTGCACTCAGGAATTACTCCTAGCATTGCTCAGGAGATCTTATGGGATGCTGGGGATTGAACCCAGGTTGGCTGAATGCAAAGCAAGCACCCTCCCCAGTGTACTATCGCTCTGGTCCCATGATATAGTTTTAAGATTTTTCTATGACAGGGCCAGAAAGAGACTAGAGCAGGTAAGGTGCTCGATCTGTGTGCACCCAACTCCAGTTCAATCCCTGGCATTGCATATGGTTCCCTTGAACTGCCTGAGCACAGAGCCAGGAGAAAGTCTTGAACTCCACTAGGTATGACCCCCCCCCCCACCCCAACAAATAAAGACTGTCACTGTCACTGCCCTCCCGTTGTTCATTGATTGGCTCAATTGAGTGGGCCCAGTAACATTGTGAAACTTGTTACTGTGTTTGACAAAGACATTCTAGGATAAAGTAGGGGAAGGAGGAGGGCACAAAGGAAGTGTTGGAGGAAGCTGAGGAGCAGAGTAGGGGGCAATGACCATGACCTTTCATGTGGTAAACTCTAAAACAAGGTATGTCTGCCATACCTAATAACAAATTTTGTTTCTGCTTTCTGTGTTTTGGGGGGTACACCCAGCGGTACTCAGGGCTTACCCCTGGTTCTGCGCACAGGGGTCACTCTTGGAGGTGTTTGGGGACGCATATGCGAAGCCAGAAATCTAACCCAGGTCGACTGTGGGCAAGGCAGGTGTATTACCCATTATACTATCTCTCTGGCCTCCCAAATATAAATTTGTCTACATTAGATACTTAGAAAAAATAAATAATTGAAGCCAGAGGTGTGGCTCAGAGGTAGAGCAAACCCCATGAAGCGACCAATACATGCAGAGAGCTGTTGAATTAAAACACTAATTTTAGTGTTTTAAAGGCCTTTTGTCACCTAACAGATCAGAAAAAATCAAAAACAGCAAAAGCACCCATTGCTGGAACGGATGTGAAAAAACAATCCTCAAACATTGGATAGTTTTTGCTGGGGAAGTACATAGTCACAGCATTTGGGGAAAGCAATGTGGCAAGGGTCACTATAACTAAAATGTTATAATGTAAATCTCCCCTTTCTCCAGTAATGGAGAAAACTAGAGAAACCACTAACCATTGAGATAAAATCAATATAACTTTGTGATAATGGCAAAAACTAGAAACCAAGTGAATGCCCATTCAATAAGGATGGGGAATATTACAGACCCAGTAAAAAGAATGCAGTAAATCTGTTCCATCAGACTTAGGGAAACTGTACTGTGCATTCATGGTTAAGAGAGAAAAGCAAAATAGAGAGAAGTATATGTGATATGATTCCACTTCTGGGGTGGTGATCTAGTACAGCAGACAGGACGCTTGCTTTGCACATGGCTGACTTGGATTTGATCCCAGGCACCACATATGGCCCCCCAAGTCCTGCCTGGAGTGATCCCTGATCACAGAGCCAATGGTAAGTCCTGAGCACTGTTGGTTGTGACCCAATGATCAAAACATATGATACCACTAGACTCTTTCATTCTAAATCTAAAATGTGTGTAAGCTGCTAGAGAGAAAAGTGGAAGAAAGCAAATAAGGCTGTTAACATAAAGATATATTTTTTAAAAAATATAGATTTTAAAATACATTTCTACATTAAAAAACTGTGAGTTGGGGCTGGAGAGATAGCACAGCAGGTAAGGCGTTTGCCTTGCACGCGGCCGACCCGGGTTCGATTCCCAGCATCCCATATGGTCCCCTGAGCACCGCCAGGAGTAACTCCTGAGTGCAGAGCCAGGAGTAACCCCTCTGCATTGCCGGGTGTGACCCCCCAAAAAAAACTGTGAGTAGGGGGCTGGAGAGATAGCACAGTGGTTAGGACGTTTGCCTTGCACACGGCTGACCTGGGTTCAATTCCCAGTATCCCATATGGTCCCCTGAGCACTGCCAGGAGTAATTCCTGAGTGCATGAGCCAGGAGTAACCCCTGTGCATCACCAGGTGTGACCCGAAAAGCAAAAAAAAACAAGAAAGCTGTGAGTAGAATGTGGTCCTGTTCATGCAAAATTCTGTGCATAGAAAGAGATGGGGGAAAAGGTTAGTCACCAAGCTAGTAATGATGGCCATCTCAGCCAGTGGGATTGCCCGACTTTTTCCCTTTGAGTTTTCCTGTCTTGAATGTTATCCTGATGTTGTTTACACAATCAATGGGAAATAAAGCTATTTTTATTGTTGGGGGGAGTATTGGCAGGTAGAGGTCCTCAGGGACCACGTTTAATGAGCGCACAAGATCAATATTCAATTAACATATCAACTGCTGGCACGTGAGCTGATGTTTTAAAAAATCCTTGAAGTGTAGAATCTCTTAAGTGGCCCAACTGTCATCTGAAACTTTGTTTACAGTTCTCCCATTTAACGCTTCAGAATGGAATGGTTACAAATGCCAACAGGGACGGAAATGATTAAAGGAGTTTTTATTTGTGTCATCGAATAACTGCATCGCCCATACTCATCACAGTTTAGAACTTCCACACAGAATGCATCTCCCAATGACATCCAATGCTGCCCCTGGAAGCTTTTCAGCGTGTGCTTACAGCATTCCTTTCTCCAACCCTCTCTGCAGTGACCCAGAAAATCTTTACATTCAACTTTGTCTCAAGTTTGTCTTTATGCAGCTTTCTTCTCATGTGTTTCTTTCTCCATGTGCCTTCCCAGCTGTGTAGACACCTGGCTTCCTGAGACCCTACCTGGCCCTTTTGTTTTGTTTGGGGGGGGGGTCCACCCCAGCTAGGTTCAGCACTTATTCCTGGCTCGGTGCTCACGGATCACTCCTGATGATGCTCTGGGGACCAGATAAGGGGGATCAAATTAGGGTCAGCCACTATCAGAGAAAGCACCCTGCCCACTGTTCTCTCTCTCCAGCCCTGAACTGTTCTTCATTGTCCTTTCTGTCTCCACAGACCACTCCAATACTGAGTTTGGGTTTGGGTTTGAGTTTGGGTTTCTCTAGCAGCAGAGGCAAACCAGGCCCACTCTTGGAAACGGTTAGGATAGGTTGCTGAGATAGAAGTTGGGGGATTATTAGCGGGTATCAGCGGAATTTGGATTTTCTTGTATTGATCATTACACGTTTCCAGGGCTGGAGCGATAGCACAGCGGGTAGGGCGTCTGCCTTGCATGCAGTAGAACTGGGTTTGATTCCTCCGCCCCTCTTGGAGAAACCGGGAAGCTAGTGAGAGTATCTTGCCCCCACCGCAGGGCCTGGCAAGCTACCGGTGAAGTATTCGATATGCCAAAAAACAGTAACAACAAGTCTCACAATTTGTTGTGAGGCGTTACTGGTGCCCGCTGGAGCAAATCCACGAACAACGGGAGGATAGTGCTACAGTGCTACACATTTGTCGGCCTAGGAGATTCAAAGGAGAATGAGAGCTGATCCTAAAAAACATCCCTGCCAGTTCTGGGATCGGAGCTCAAGGGTCTGGCTCTGGGGCGGATGGGAGGGAGGGAACAGCTGCGTAAGTCAGTCAAGGTCTACTGGTTCTCCAAGAGTGGTCCTGCCCAACCGAACCAGCATTCCTGGAAACTTGAAAATTCCAATCAACTCCCCAGCCCCACTCGCGAGCTACCAAAGCAGAAAGTCTTTGCGGGGTAGAGACCAGCAAGGCTGAATCCTGTCCTCTGGGCGCTTGTGAAGTTGCAGCTGGAGAAGTCCGGCTCCAGCGGAGGCCCGGCGGCCTCCCACTTAGACTTCGCCTGGCGGGGCGGCCTCGCGGGGCCTCTGGCTCCTAGACAGCAGCACCACGCTGTCTGTCCCCGGAGCTCCTCTGCGCGGGGACGCGCTCCCGCTCCGCCCGAGACGTCAGGCTGCAAAACAAGACAGGTCGCGTCGCAGACCGCGGCGCACCGGGTGCAAAGGGGCTGCAGCCCCCGGGCGGCGGCGGCGTGGGGGGAGCGCACGGCGGCGTCGGGGCACGCACGCGGGCACCCGACGCACGGCCGGTGCGGGGGGGGCGGGCGCGCCGAGCCGCCGGCGGTCCCCGGCCCCCGCAGGAAGCGGGGAGAGACTCCGCCCCCGGCCGGCGGGGCGCGGCGTCTCGTCCCTCGGGCCCCGCCCAGACCCCGCCCCCGCCCCGCCCCCGTGGCCCGGGAGGGGGCAGCCGGCTCGGCCCGCGCGCGCGCCCGCGGCCGGGTTGCAGGGCTGGGCGCGCGCCCCGCGTCCCGGGCAGGAAGATGGTGGCGAGCGCGCGGGTGCAGAAGCTGGTGCGGCGCTACAAGCTGGCGATCGCCACCGCGCTGGCCATCCTGCTGCTGCAGGGCCTGGTGGTGTGGAGCTTCAGCGGCCTGGAGGAGGACGAGCCGGGCGAGGTGCTCCGACGGCCGGGCGGGCCGGGCGGGCAGGCCGGGCGCGGGGGGCGCGCGGGGTCCTGGCGGGGCTGCGGGCGGCCGGGGCCGGGCAAGTGGGGCACCGGCCGCGTGCGTGGAGGGCGCGGGCGGCCGCCGCGAGTCCGGCCTCGGGTCCCCTTGGCGCTTCCTTCGCGGGCGGGCCCGGGGGCTGCGCGCGGGGGCGGTGCGTGACCCGCAGGCCCTGGCCGCGGGCGGGCAGGGGCCCCGGGCGGGCAGAGCGGGGCCGGGTCCGGTGGTCTCCGGGCTCGCAGAGCAGTGAAGGTCAGGCGCGCTGAGCGGGGCCGGGAGGCGGGGCTGGGCCCGAGCCGGCTCCGAGGTGGGGAGCCCCAGGCCAAACTTTCTGAAGTTGGGTGGGGGCGGGGAGTGGGGCCTGGGAGCCCCGGGCAGGGGCGCCCGACTGCAGGGAGCTCGGGGTGGAACTCGGTCCAGCAACCGTTGCAGCGCGGCGTGACCCCGAACCGAGAGAACCTGGGTGGCCCTAGGCGTGACTTGCTTCGTCTCGGGTCCGCGGAACGAGTGGGCCTGCAGGGGGCATGGTCGCGGCACTTGGTCTGTGTGGTGGGGGTATTGTGGAGTCGCGCCTCTGGCGTTCAGGGAAAGGGGACCCGCCACAGAGGGCTAGCAGGGCTCAGGCCCTGGAGCAGGGACAGACTCTGTTCTGCTGTGCCCCCAGGGCAGGCCCAAACAGGTCTTTCCCAGGGTGGCCCTTGGGGTCCAGTGAGGTTGGAGCCTGCCTGGAAGGTTACCGGAGGATGGGCAGGGGCAGGACTTCCCTGCCTGCAGCGCATCCCCTTGATCCGGAACTCTGAGTCACCTCTTCACTTCTCATGCCCCCTTGGGCTTCTCCATCTGGCAGTGAGGGCCTGGGAACCCTTCTTCCCCTTCCTGCCCCCAGCCCTCTGGGAGATGAGGTGTTGTCGCCTTTGCCTTTTTCAGGATCAGCGGCCACCTGGACAGTGAGGAGGGGCTTGGGGAAGGGGTGGGGGAGCTGGTGTGTGTGCCGGGGTAAGTAGGAGAAACTATGTTGCAGGCCTGTGTGCAACATTGTCTCCGGGTGGTTGAGATATTTAGAGGAATGGGGCTGTGATCTCTTAGGAGAACCCCCTCATCCCGGAGCATGTGAGCAGTGGCAACTGACCATCCTGGGGCCTGGCCCCAAGCTGTGTGGCACTCTGAGCCCCCAGGTGGCTTGAGAGATTGTCCAGGCTTCCTTGCTGACATTCAACGGTGGAGAAGAGGGTAGCCCACCCACGCACACCTTCAGCTACAGGAAGGAGGAAGTTCCTAGGCTGGAGTGGGAAAAACCCTTCCCGGTGGTCCCACGACCCTCGGCAGGGTCCTTGCCTGGTATCTGGGCTAGAGGTGGTATAATTACTCCGGAAGGGGACTCAGAAGTTGGGCACTCCACTTCACCCCCTTATTTAATGTGTGGAGTTTGTTCTGTTCCCCTGCTGCTACTTGGCAGTGGTGTGGCACCAGCCTTGCCCCCCACCCCCTGTGCAAGATGGGGGCCATAGTCGTGTCTGTGTTGGCTGATTGTGCAGAGTAAATGCAAACAGTGCCTGTGTGTTACTTGCCGGAGTTCCTGGCATCGGCTAAGCCATTGGGAAATCCCTCTTCTTGTCCCAACACAGCAACTGAAATAGGGATTTATTCATCCAGTCATTCATTCATTCAACAGCTCTGTACCAAGCCCTACTTGGTTGTGTTCTGAAGGACGGGGACATACCAGCAGTGCTCAGGGGCTACTCCTGGCTTGGTGCAGGGGGGTGGGGGGGTCGTGCGGTCCAGGGATGGAACCCAGGCCTCCCGTGTGCAAAGCAGTGTTCCAGCCCTTTGAGCTGCCTGCTTGATAGTAGCCCCCGTGCTGCTGAAGGGAAGACAGACTTGAGGACAAGAAGAACCAGAGAGACGTCTCAGCTCCTTGGGCTGCCAGAGTGCAGGGACAGACTCAGGAAACCAGAGGCTGAGGGTGAAGGAGCTGGGGGTCTTGGGGGCTCCTGCAGGTGTGGGAGCTGAGGGAAACTTTAGGTCAGGGGACCAGGAGGGCAGTTGGGGCAGAAGTTGATAGGAGGAGCAGGGTTGATAGGAGATTGGGCAGCGGGGCTGGTGCTGTGGAGCCTGAAGTTTGGTTTGTGGAGGCAACCCCCCCCCCCCACGGGGCACAGTCAAGGACTGGGTTTGGTTCGAAGTGCTATAGACATGCTCCTGGGGGCTCCTCCAGCACGGGCATCCGGTATGCTTGTGGGCTGCCCATTTTGCCCATCTCTGGAGGGCAAGAGTGGAGGAGACCAGGGCTGGTCATTAACGCCCAGAGAGCTGTTTTATTGCTCACAAAGCTTCCCCAAACATCGACTCACCACTTAGGTTCAATGAGTGAGAAGGCTGAGGGTGGGGGCGGGCTAAGGCTTGCTGTGCTCTCTGTTCTCCGGGGTACAGGGAGGGCTTCTGAGGAGGAGGAGCGGAGTGCGGTACTTCCTGAGCCCCCTCAGCAGGGAGGGGGGCTGTGGAGGTCAGGGCCGGTGCAAAGCAATTGGAGGGGAGCTGGTGTGTCTGTGTGAACAAGGCTGGGTAGATGGCTCAAAGTGTCTTGCACTTGTGAGGCCCCGGGTTCAATCCCCAGTGTCATGATTACCCAAGCCCTGGGAGCCCCTAGAACCACTTGGCTGAAGTGGTGAGCTCTTCTGGCCCAGATGGTGGTTCGTCAGGAGTGGTTCCTGAGCTCTATGTGGGAGCCCCCTTTAAAAATAGATTGATCTGGGGCTGGAGTGATAGCACAGCAGGTAGGGCATTTGCCTTGCACGCAGCTGACCTGGGTTTAATTCCCGGCATCCCATATAGTTCCCCTGAGCACTGCCAGGAGTAATTCCTGAGTGCATGAGCCAGGAGTAACCCCTGTGCATCGCTGAGCATGACCCAAACAGCAAAAATAAGTAAATAAATAAATAAATATAATAGACTGATCTGGGAGAGGGCCTCCAATGTCCCTACTGCTGCTCTTGGTCCCCCAGCCTCCTCTGGGATTGTTCTTTCCTGTGGCAGTGCAGGCCACCAGCATGCCCATCTCCTCCCACATCCTGTCGCCAATGCAGCCAGCCTGACCCTGTGCCCCAGACCCTCACCTCCCTATCAGCATCTGACTCGGAGCTCCTGGCTTCCACCCCGCACCCTGGGCGCTTTGGTCTGTCTGCTGGGACACATCTCTGTCTTCTTTGTGACCAGGCCAGATATTGCCCAGGGGGACGGAAGGCTGTGTCTGTCTGCCTGTCCCTGGGGAGAGCCCAGGTCAGAGTGCCCACCCCAGTGTGGGTCCAGAGTGGGGTATGTGGCCGACCCCCACCCTCCCTCACTCAGGTATCCCTCGGGTGAGTGGGCATGCTCTGGGCTCCTGTGATTGGACATCTGAACAGGAGCTGGGCACAGAGGGCAGGGATGCTAAAAGGCCCAGTGGGCTCTGCCTCAGGGTTGAGGGTGTGCATGGTCCCCCAGAAGAATGGAGGAAGGTGAGGAATAGGGAAGACAGTCTTGAGGACCTGAAGGCCTTGGCCCTTCCCCTGAATGCCCATTTCACTCCTTCCTCGTGCCCTTCTGGTGTGGACCTGAGGGTGATGCTTATTCAGTGTAGAGCCAGTGCCGGGAATGTGGCACTTGTTTATTCATTTGTTTCTTCATTCATTTGTTCATTCATTTGTTTCTTCACTTGTTCATTCATTCATTCATTCATTCATTCGCTTTTCCATCCATCCATACATACATACATACATCCATATATCCATCCATTCATCCATCCATCCTTCCATGTAACTGACATTTTCTTGGGGGTTCCCACTGCTCGTTTTCTGGGCTTTTCAGTGCATCGGCAAACAGGACTAAACCTTGTCCCTAGGGAGTGCACTATTGTGGGAAGAGCCCAGGAACAGGGAGCAGAGCCAGGCTAGGATGAGCCCAATGGAGGCACCTTCTGAGCAAAGAAGGAAGAGGTGAGGAAGACACTGTGGGGATAGCTGTGGGGGTCAGCAGGCGTCAGGTGGGGTGGTGGGGCCCGTTGCAGTATATGGAGGGAGTGAGATGAGGTGGGCTGGGGGAGATGAGCTTAGAGAGGGAGATGCTCAAAGGGCTGACATGTGCGTTTTGCTTGCCCGACGCGTGGTCCCCCACGATCTGCCAGGTGTGTCCCCAAAAGAAAGATAAGGGACTGTCAACAGCGATAGCCGTGGCACTTGTAGACTGGGTGGAGGCTTGGGGGTTACCTTCAGGGAGATTTGGGCTGTTTCTACAGGGGATCGCAGCTCAGTGATGAAAAGTGGCCAGTGGGGGCGGGGAAGGGAACCACAGAAGGGGCAGGATCCCTGGTGTCCCAGGTTGGGGTGGAGGTGATGGGGGTGCCCCATCGGGCTAACCTCATGAAGAACCAGTGTAGAGCATGAGGGCAGTCACTGTTGACTCCTGGACATCTTTGGAAGGTGGATGCATGGTTCGCTGAGCTGGTGTGAGACCAAGACTGGGCCCAGCTGGAGAGGGAGATCGGAGCTCAGGTCTGGACTTGGGGGTTGGAGACGCCTCGGGGGAGAGTGGCAGTTAACCCCCTGATAGGTCTGGGGAGCAGTGCCTGCCGGAGAGAAACTTAGAGGCAGGGTGAAGACACCTAAAGTGGTAGGACAAAGGGAACCTCTTTGATCACCTGGGATATGAGGAGTGGGTCAGAAAGGACAAGGAGGCTAATGAGGGACCTTTCAGAAGAGGAAGGGGTGAGGGTGGGGGGCCCAGAGCGAGGACTGTGGGGTGGTGGGGAGGCATGTGTGTGGGCGTGCGGAGGCCATGGAGAGCTTGTGGGTGCAGGATGGAGACCAGCAGGGGCCAAGGAGCCTGGCTCCTTCTCACATACACACCCCTCACCCGGGACTCACCCCTCACCCGGGACTCTTCCAGTCCAGGAACAGCCCCGAGTAACTGCAGGGTATGACTGAGCTAGGCCAGAGTGCTGCTGACCCCAGTGTAACACGGTACCTTGAGCTCCTTCCTTTCTGCAGTTCTGCTACTGCGGAGATGTCCCTGGGTGCCAGATACCCCCACTGTACACTGGAGATGGTGGGCTAACAGGACAGTCTCTGGGAACCCCCGTCTGCCAGGGGACAGGATGGATTTAGTCTGGGCCCATCTTGACTGCTGGAATTTGGTCAGGTAGGGGCTGGGGGAATCTAGCAGGGTGAGCTGGGAAGAAGGTGGATACACACACTCTGTGGTCCAGGCTTGCTGTCTTGACTGGGGGTTGTGGCTCCATGCAGGGGGGTGGGGTAGTGTCCTACAACAATGTGGTAGTCGCCAAAAAAAAAATGTGGCAACTGTGTTAGTTCAGAATCCCCCTCTTCCTTCCTCCCCACCCCCACTGCCATGCCATGAGTTTGAGATGTTCCTGGTAATGCTTGCGTGGCTGCATTTCTCGGGTACAGAGGGGGTCGGGAGTCGGGAATGGGAAAAATTGAAGAAGCCACATTCCGGGCCGCACCTTCAGATGCAGCCTCCTGCCTGTGCATCAACAGTGGTGACAACAGGCTCTGTGCCCAGGCTCCTTGCGCAGGACTTTCTGGGCCCAGTGGGCCATGAGCTCTTCCAGCTCCACCATCACCCCCCAGGGTGAACCCACAGTGTCTCCCTCACTGACTCTGCTTCTCAGAGAACCCGAGGGAGGCTTGGAGGACTGCTTCTTTTTGTACGGACAGAATCTTCCCTTCTGAGAACCTGGGAAGGGGAGAGTATGGGGACAAGGTCCACACCCTTCTCTTGAGACATGTGTCAACACTCGCTTTCTTTTTTTTGTGGGGGGAGGGCGGGTTCACACCCGGTGATGCGCAGGGGTTACTCCTGGCTCTGCACTCAGGAATTACTCCTGGCAGTGCTTGGGGGACCATATGGGATGCTGGGAATCAAATCCGGGTCAGCCACATGCAAGGCAAACATCCTACCTGCTGTGCTATCGCTCCAGCCCCAACACTCACTTTCATACCAGCTAACAAAATGGCATCTAAGGGCCAGTGAGAGCCTGGCACACTGAGCAGGCTTTGCATGCAGTGGGCTCGGGTCTGCCCCTGGCCCCAGCTGGTCCCCACAGGCACAAAGCAAAGGAGCCGCGGTGCCCGGTGGGTTGCCTGATGGAAGGAGTGGCATCGGGCTCTGTGCCCAGGCCCCAGTGCGGGAGAGACCATGGATTCACCCCGGGGGGTGATGGTGGAACTGGAAGAACTCTGAGGGACCCCAGCCACAGAGTGCCGGAGGACAGGACAGTGGTCACTCGCTGACCCATATCTTCTTGTCTTTCAGAAAGGAAGGCAGAGGAAGCCACGGCCGCTGGACACCGGCGAGGGATCCAAAGACACGGACAGTTCGGCGGGGCGGCGGGGCAGCGCGGGCAGAAGGCACGGGCGCTGGCGGGCCCGAGGCGAGAGCCCAGGAGTGCCTGTGGCCAAAGTGGTGCGGGCGGTAACCAGCCGGCACAGAGCCAGCTGGCGGGTGCCCCCCGGCCAGGCCCCAGAGGCCCCCCACCGCCAGAACCTCAGCGGAGCCGCCGCAGGGGAGGCACTGGGCGGGGCCGCCGGCTTCCCCCCCCACGGAGACACAGGGAGTGTGGAGGGCGCCCCCCAGCCCACGGACAATGGCTTCACCCCCAAGTGTGAGATCGTGGGCAAAGATGCACTTTCTGCGCTGGCCCGGGCCAGCTCCAAGCAGTGCCAGCAGGAGATCGCCAACGTGGTGTGCCTGCACCAGGCGGGGAGCCTCATGCCCAAGACAGTGCCCCGCCACTGCCAGCTGCCTGGTAAGGGACAGGTGTGGGGGAAAGGGCAGTACGAGGGAGTCCCAGAAGAGCACTGCCCTGCCCGCTGGGCATGATGCTCTGAGAGGCAGAGGTAGCGGGGACCCCGCAGTGCCAGGCCCTGGTGGACATTTCTCAGGAAGGCAGATGCCCCCCTCTCCACTTCCTGTCTCAGCCCTGCCCTGGGCTCTGGGGAGGACCCCCCCTTAGTGCTCGTGGTCTCCCTGCAGGGAAGATGAGCCCTGGCATCCAGTGGGACGAGAGCAGGGCCCAGCAGCCTGTGGCGGGTGCCCGGGTTCGCATCGCTTACATGCTGGTGGTGCACGGCCGGGCCATGCGCCAGCTGAAGCGGCTCCTCAAGGCCGTGTACCACGCACAGCACTTCTTCTACATCCACGTGGACAAGGTACTGGGTGTTTGGGGGAGGGGGCAGACATCCTGCTCAGATGACCCTGGGATGGGGGTAGGGGAGCAGGAGCCCTGGGGCCCTGCTTGCTCCATTTTGTACCCCAAGGTGGGAGGGGTGAGAGGGGGGGTTGGTGGATGTCCCACCAGGGTCCCACGGTGGCCACTGAGCATCAGCCCCACCTGGCTCCCCACAGCGCTCTAACTACCTGCATCGTGAGGTGGTGGCACTGGCCCAGCAGTACGACAACGTGCGGGTCACCCCCTGGCGCATGGTCACCATCTGGGGTGGGGCCAGCCTGCTGAGGATGTACCTGCGGAGCATGCGTGACCTGCTGGAGGTGCCGGGCTGGACCTGGGACTTCTTCATCAACCTCAGCGCCACCGACTACCCAACCAGGTATGCTGACGTGCTCTGCAACCCTGGGGGGCCTGCTGGGACACTTCCTCTCCCCCCCAACATCTGTCTGGGACCTGCCACAGTCCAAGCCGTGGGGCCATTGGCGAGTTGTAGGGGACTGACCATTAAAAGACAGTCCAACGCCACTGGCTGAGCAAGTGAAAACAGAGATAGATAAATGGGACTATCTTAAACTAAGAAGCTTCTGTACCTCCAAAGAAACAGTGACCAAAATACAAAGACAGCCTACAGAATGGGAAAGAATATTCGCCGAATACACATCTGACAAGGGGTTGATATCAAGGATATACAAAATACTGGTAGAACTCCACAAGAAGAAAACATCCAACCCCATCAAAAAATGGGGCAATGAAATGAACAGAAACTTTCTCAAAGAAGAAATCCGAATGGCAAAAAAGCACATGAGAAAATGCTCTACATCATTAATCATCAGGGAGATGCAGATCAAAACCACAATGAGATATCATCTCACACCTCAGAGACTGGCCCACATTCAAAAGAACAAAAGCAACCGTTGCTGGCGCGGATGTGGCGAGAAAGGGACACTCCTTCACTGTTGGTGGGAATGTCCACTGGTTCAGCCCTTCTGGAAAACAGTATGGACGTTCCTCAAAAAATTAGAAATTGAGCTCCCATTTGACCCAGCGATACCACTCCTGGGAATATATCCCAGAGAGGCAAAAACGTGTAGCCGAAGGGACATCTGCACTTGTTTGTTCATTGCAGCACTCTTTACAGTAGCCAGAAACTGGAAGAGACCTGAGTGCCCAAGAACAGATGACTGGTTAAAGAAACTTTGGTACATCTACACAATGGAGTACTATGTGGCTCTTAAAAGAGATGAAATCACGAACTTTACATACAAGTGGTACAATATGGAAAGTATCATGCTAAGCGAAATGAGTCAGAAAGAGAGGGATAGACATAGAAAGATAGCATTCATCTGGGGGATATAAAATAATAAAATATGAGATTAATACCCACAACACCAGGAGAATTACTCCATAACTTAGAGGCCAGCTGGGTATTCTAGGGGAAAGGACAATTCAGATGGAGAGGGGAACGCCAAGTGGAGGGTGTTTGGAGGATCCTCCCAGGAGGGGAGATGCAGGTTGAAAGTAGACTGGACTGAACATGTTCGCCACTCAATGCCTCTTTGGCTGATCACAGCGCCCAGGAGGAGAGAGAGAACAGGGGGGAATGCCCTGCCACAGTGGCAGGGGGGGATGGGGGGATGGGAGGATGGGGGGGAGGGATATTATCCTGGTGGTGGAAAATGGGCACTGGTGGAGGGATGGGTATTTGATCGTGGTATGACCGAGATCCAAGCACAAAATTTGTAAATCTATAACTGTACCTCATGTTGTTTCACTAATAAAAAATAAAAAAAAAAAAAAAAAAAAAAAAAGACAGTCCAAGGGTAGAGCAGGAAGAGAGCAGGGGAGAAGGAGCCAGAGATCTGTACTGGGGGTGTTGGGCTAGACAGCACAGGAGGGTGGAAGGATGGGTGGTCATCCTCAGGGTCTTAGCTGGGGTTTGTGTGTGTGTGACCAGAGGCGCCCCGGGTGCAGGAAGGAGGCTCTTCCAGGCTGGTGGTGGAGTTTCACGCACACACACACTGCCTGTACCCCATCCCCCCCAGGACCAATGAGGAGCTGGTGGCTTTCCTGTCGAAGAACCGAGACAAGAATTTCCTCAAGTCCCATGGCCGGGACAACTCTAGGTGAGGCAGGGGCTGGGGGGCCTGGCCCCGGGTCTACTGGTGGCAGGTCAGTTGCTGATAGGGTTGTGCTGGGTTCCTCCACCCCCACCTCCGCCCCTGGCCAGAAGATGCTCAGTGCCGGCCCCCGCAACCCTCCCTGCAGGTTCATCAAGAAGCAGGGCCTGGACCGTCTGTTCCACGAGTGCGACTCACACATGTGGCGCCTGGGTGAGCGGCAGATCCCAGCGGGCATCGTGGTGGATGGCGGCTCCGACTGGTTTGTGCTTACGCGCAGCTTTGTGGAGTACGTGGTGTACACGGACGACCCGCTCGTGGCCCAGCTGCGCCAATTCTACACGTACACTCTGCTCCCAGCCGAGGTGGGGGACTTGGTCCTGGGCTGAGGGGACGGGGGTGGGGAGGGTCTGTGTGTGTGTGTGTGTGTGTGTGTGTGTGTGTGTGTGTGTGTGTGTGTGTATGTGTTGGGGCCAGGCCCGTGGCTCACTCACACCCCCCACAGTCTTTCTTCCACACCGTGCTGGAGAACAGCCCTGCTTGCGAGAGCCTCGTGGACAATAACCTGCGGGTCACCAACTGGAACCGCAAGCTAGGCTGCAAGTGCCAGTACAAGCACATCGTGGACTGGTGCGGCTGCTCCCCCAATGACTTCAAGCCACAGGACATCCTCCGGCTGCAGGTGGGCCCCCAGCACCCCCAGCACGGTCCCTGCAGGCCTCCCCCGGGTCTCCATCAGTGCACTCAGACAGATGACCTGAAATGTTTGCACCACAGCAATAAAGGGTGGGCCCGAGACATGGCTCGTGGCTGGAGCACATGCTTTGCAGGCAAGAGTCCTGGTTCTGCTCTCTAGCACTGTATGGTCCCCTGAGCACCGGGCTTTGAGTAGCCCCAAGCACCACTGGGTGACTCCAAACCCCCCCCCCCAAAAAAAAAAAGTTAACAAAGGGTGGGTCTGGAGCCATAGAACAGGAGGTAAGTAGTTTGCCTTGCACTTGACTTACCAGGGTCCGATCCCCTGCATCTCATATAGTCCCCCAAACACCACCAGCAGTAATTCCTGAGCTCAGAGCCAGGAGTAAACCCTGAGCATCGGTGGGTGTGGCACGAAAACCAAAAGAAAAAAAAAGGTGGACTGGTGAGATGGGGAGATGGCTCACAGGGCTGGAGCACATGCTTTTTGTATGTTGGAGCTTTGAGTTTGATCCCCGTCACCCCATGACTCACCTGCACCCCCAAATGCTGAGCTGGGAGTAACCCCAAGCACCTCCAGGTGTGGTCCCCAAAGCTCAATGAAACCCTGGTTGCTGACTGGAGCTGCGAAGGTGCTGGCTGTGTGCGCTGTGATCCCTAGTACAGGAGCAAACCAGAGCAGCAGGCCGGATGCTGGAGGTCCCAGCGGTGGGATCTGGACTCAGGGCCCCAGGAAGTTCAGGGGAGAGAAAAATACCAGGGGGATGCAAGGGGGCCAATAAGAGAATCGGGCCTTTTAGTCTGCACTGGGAGGGGGGGAGGTTCTCCGCTCCCCGCCCTCCAGACCCCCTCATTGCCCGCCTCTCCCACTGCAGCAAGTCTCCAGACCCACCTTCTTTGCCCGGAAGTTCGAGTCCACCGTGAACCAGGAGGTGCTGGAGATCCTGGACTCGCACCTGTACGGCAGCTACCCGCCCGACACGCCGGCGCTCCGGGCCTACTGGGAGAACGTGCACGATGCGGCCGACGGCGCTGGCGCGCTCAGCGATGTGGCACTCACCGCCTACACGGCCTTCGCCCGCCTGGGTCTGCGCCAGGCGGCCACGGCCGCGCCCGCGCAGGCTGCGCCGCGCTGCAGGTGAGGTCCGCCTTCCGGGGCACAGGTCGGGCCCTGCGGACGGGATTCCCCCAGCCGGGTGTGCTGACGGCATCTCCCTTTCTCCCTGCTGGAACCTTCTTAGGTTTGAGCCCAGGGGCTTGCCGTCCAGCGTGCACCTGTATTTCTATGACGACCATTTCCAGGGCTACCTGGTGACGCAGGCGGCGCAGCCCTCAGCGCAAGGGCCGGCAGAGACGCTGGAGATGTGGCTGATGCCCCAGGGGTCGCTGAAGCTGTCGAGACGGAGTGACCAGGCCAGCCGGCTGCAGAGTTTGGAGGTGGGACAGGCCTCCCCCTTACTTTCTCTTGACGCCACTCCCCTGCTCCCCACCACTTAACTCTCCACCCCGCAAGATTCAGGAAAGTAGGGAAGAGGGCCAGGAAGGGATCCCTCTGGCTTTTCCTCGCCAGAGAGGGAGGCCCCCCACCTGAATCCCGCATGCGGGAGCTCATCCCATCTGGGGAGCGAGGCAGGGAGCAGAGGACCCAGGGAGCAGGCCTGTTCCTGACCACAGGGATTTTCCTCTAGAGAGGCTTGGAGGTCACAGTTAGGCTTGGGGGTGTCTCAGTGGCCATAGATTTGTGGGGGGTGGTACTGGGTAGGGCCTGACTGTCCCCTAACACTGTGGGGCCATCAGAACAGGCACCTCCTGCAGGTCCCAGGGCCGGGGGGAGCGTCCAGATGCAGTCCAACCCTTCGTTTTTACAGATGGGGAAACTGAGGCCCAGAGAGAGACTGCGGCAGGCCCGCGTCGCACAGGGAGTTAGAGGCAGCACCAGAGTAGAGGGAAGGCTCTTCCCCGGCTCCCGCCCAGCCGCCTCCCTCCCTACAGGTCGGCACCGAGTGGGACCCCAAAGAGCGCCTTTTCCGGAACTTTGGGGGGTTGCTGGGGCCTTTGGATGAGCCTGTGGCCATGCAGCGCTGGGCCCGAGGCCCCAACCTCACCGTCACTGTGGTGTGGATCGACCCCACCTACGTGGTGGCCACGTCTTACGACATTGCCGTGGACGCAGACACCGAGGTCACTCAGTACAAGCCGCCGCTGAGCCGGCCCCTGCGGCCTGGGGCCTGGACTGTCCGTCTGCTCCAGTTCTGGGAACCCCTGGGCGAGATCCGTTTCCTTGTGCTGCCCTTGACCTTCAACCGCAAACTACCTCTCAGGAAAGGTGAGGCGCTGCTGCCCGCCCTGCATCTGGGCTGTCCCAGGAGGCCTGTGGTGGGGCCGAGTGGGCATGTGGTTGGGGGCGTGTTTGGGAGCTGCCTGCACTGTGGAGAAAAGACCAGACTTGGAGCACAGCTTTCACCCCTTTCTGGTCCTCGGCCCCCGTGTGTGTCTCCGTCTTCCTCCCTGAGCTGTGGTCTGAGCGTGTGTGATGTAGAAGGCAGGAAGCCTCGCAGACCAGCCGGACACACGGCTGCAGAGCACTGCAGAGTGCCTTCTCCCCAAGGCCCTCGTGGCCGTGACCCCAGCCTGTTTGTCAGCCCCTCAGGCCCTGCTTCTCTGCCACGCAGGCCCCCCCCCCCAGTGCTCAGAGAGTCTCCAAGGCCTCTGGGTCCTCACAGTCCATGTTTTGCGGCTGGGTTTTGCTCCCAGGGGCCCTCCCAGTGTGGAGTGTGGCCAGGTAGGCAGAGGCTGAGGGAGCACAGGGTCTCTGGGTTCTCTGCCCCCAGGAGATGTGGGGAGCTGGTGTTTCCTTCCCCCAGCCACATGCTGTTAGAGGTGAGGGGCGCGGGGGGGATCCCAGAGAGGGAGGGCATTGAGTGGGGTGTGTGGCAGACCCTGGGGAGGGCCCACGCTGTACCCCTATTCTCCTGGAACTCGCAGCTGAATGAGGAGTGGAGCCGTGATAGTAACGGGGGCCGAGTCCGGGGGTTGAGCTGGGGTTTAGTGAGGGCAGCAGCTTCTCCAGGTGTCAGTCTGGGGGGCGGGGGGTGCTGGGGGTTTGGGGAACAAGGCTGGCAGAGCAGCAGGAGCCACTGCTGGAGCCTCCAAGGGCTCGGGGGACCCTTGGAAGGGGCAGGAGTGAGAGAGCCAGATGTTTCTGGAAAGTAACTTCGTTTTCTAAAGCACCTACACTTCAGGTGGGGAGTTGAGGGAGTTCCATCGAGCTGAAAGTGGGCACACAGCATCCTGTGGTTGCCCAGATCCCTCTGAGGGCATGTAGGGACAGGAGCTGGGGTGGGATCAGTGGGGCGGTTGTGCTGACTGCCGGCTCTGCCCCCCCTCCAGACGATGCCAGCTGGCTGCACGCCGGGCCCCCCCACAACGAGTACATGGAGCAGAGTTTCCAGGGCCTGCGCAGCGTCCTCAACCTGCCGCAGCCGGGGCCCGCCGAGGAGGCCGCCCGCCGGCACGCGCAGCTCACAGGCCCGGCGCTCGAGGCCTGGACAGACGGGGCCCTGGGGGACTTCTGGTCTGTGGCAGGACTGTGCGCCACGGGCCCCTCCGCCTGCCCCTCCCTGCAGCTCTGCAGACAGACCAGCTGGAGCTCACTGTTCCCTGACCCCAAGTCGGAGCTGGGGCCTGTCAAAGCGGACGGTCGCCTCAGGTAGCAGGGCCTAGCCAGCACCTCGGAGGACCGGGGAATCGCACCTTACCGACCGTGGCGGGGTGGCCCCCACGCCGGCGAGAGCCAGAGGGCAGGCAGCCCACCACGCAAGCCATGGAGAACCGCGCAGACGGCAGGGAAGGAAGGCCCCGACCCAGGGCCTGCCGGGAGCGGGGGAGGGCAGGGCGGCGGGGAGACGGGCCCAGCACTCACGTCCTGCTCTTCCTCACCTCCCGCTCTAAATGTTCTTTCTTTGCAAAGGAAGACGGGTGGCGGGGGGAGGCTCGGGAACCAAGATGTGCAATAGGGCTCAGCAGCCCCAGCAGTGGGCGGTGGCTCTGGGGGTCAGGGGCCAGCGTGCCCATCTGCAGCGACTCCGGAGGAGGCCTCGCCCACCTCGCCCTCAAGGCCCTCCCTGGCTGGTGCCTGTGGTGCTCAGGGCTGAGGCTTCGTTTGGGAGCACACACCGGGCCAGGCTCCCAGCCTGGGGGAGCACTGCAGAGCGGGCCTCTAGCGGACAGCTTCTCTTGTCCAGGGGATCGAAGGAGAGGGGGACAGGGCTGGTTTGAGGGCTTTCCAGCACCCCCTGACCCTCCATGGGAGACGGGACCCCAGGGCCTGCTGAGACCCAGGTGGAGCCTCTCGGGTTCCCAGGACTGCCAGGGCCGGGCTCCCGGGCAGGGCAGGGACAACCCACCGGGACGCTTTGACAAACCTGGAGCAGCATCGTGCCTGAAGCCCAGTGTGAAGTCTGAAATATGCAACAGAAGAAATATATCTCTCTCTAAATGGGCCTCTCTTGCCTTCTGGAGCCGGGGAGCCGTTGCCGCTGGTACTTTTTCAGCCAGGAGAAGGGGATGATTTCAACCCCACCCAGTGGGACTGGCTTAGAATCCATCTGAGTTCCAGAGGGTGAGTGCAGGAGCTCAGCGCACCTGCCTTCAAGCCCTCTGCGTGTGAGCATGAGCCTGACAGCTCTGTGATTCTCAGCAGCATAAAATGATTTGTGGCAGCACCAAGCCAGGGGTGTGAATGCCACGGAAGAGGGAAGTGACAGTAACCCCACGCCCTCCCTTGAGCACTGCAGCTAGTGTTGCCCTCACCAGCACATGTGTGAGCCTCTGAGCATTGCAGTCACTTGTGCCTGCCCCAGTGAGCACCCCTGGTCATTGTAACCTCTACAGTAACTACGCAAAGGGGAAAGGAATTTTTAAAAATCCAGAAGCCCGGGAAGCAGAGCAATAGTATGGAGGGTAGGGTATTTGCCTTGCATGCAGCCGACCCAGGGTCAATCCCCAGCATCCTGTATGGTCCCCCAAGCACTGCCAGGAGTGATTCCTAAGTACAGAGCCAGGAGTAAACCTGAGCATCGTTGGGTGTGCCCCCTTTTCCCATAAAAAATGCAGAAGCCAGAGGGACACGCCATGTAGTTCCCTCCTGAAAGGCAATGCCAGAGGTTTCCTCATCCTAACCATTCTGGTGGAGGTGGGGGAAGGGGTCTGTTGAGTCACATCGGTGTTAGGGCCTATTCCTGGCTCTGCTCAGAACTGACCCTGCAGTGTGCAGGGGGCTCTAGGGACCATGTGGGCAAGTACCTTACCGTCTGTACTATCTCTGACCCCAGAGGACTCTCCCTGCTTCTTTTCCCTCCTGCTCAGCCCCAGAGAGCTCAAGAACATACACATCCCAGCCACAGCTTAGAAACCCTTGGAGCTTGTCTCTTGAGTAGTGGGAGCAGCCAAGACCTGGCCCCCTGGAAGGGCCCCATCCCAGAGTCACCCATCCTCCTGCCCAGCCAGCAAGAGCACCTGACAGTCACCCCACACTGAGGGGGAGAGCCAGGCTGCTACGACCTTTAGCATCACTCAGCCCAGTTGCCCTGGTCTGGGCTCAAGGAAGCAAGAGCTATCTCCTACTGTCTCGTGTTGTTTCCTAGAAGACAGGAGAGGGCGTCCCTGCCCCCCGAGCAGCACGCAGTATGGTGTCTACCTAGCCTTGACTGCCTTCACTTAGCACCTCAGAAAAAAGAGGTGGAAGGCAGAGAATCAACAAGGCCGTGGTCCTAGCTATGAAGTGGGGCCTGGCGGCCTCTGCTCCCTAGCGTGGTCCCTCCCATAGCAGGTGCCCAGAAGGAGCCAACACAGCAGCCCCAAGGGAGGTGTCGGGAACTGACTCCAGCTCTGCTTTCAGCAAACACCCAAAACTTCAGCTGTAGTTTTTTTTGTTTGTTTTTTTAGCATTGCCTCTTCAATTAAGAAAAAGACAGCACCAGGGGTTAGCATATTAGGTCTAGTAGTTATCAAAACAGTTGCCTAGCATGAAGCTTCAGCCTAGGCTGGTAACGGTGCCTGGTTTGTGTCTTGTCAACTTTCTGGCGGGCCATGTGCTCCCACTTTCAGCCACCACGTGGCCCATTACACCACCCCCAGTCACTGAATGCTGCCTGCAGGGAGCCCTTCTGGATTCCCTGAATTCAGGGTTTGGGTTGGGGCTTAGCCTCCTAGAGGGGCGGGTTCAGAGCACCCCATGCTGCTCCTTTGGATGCTGCAGTAGAACTAGGCCACCCCACCCACCATCCAGGGGTGATCTAAGCTGCTGCAGGATGCCGGACCTACTAAGGATATAGATTCAGGAGACGAATGGTGGTGAGGCCCTCCTCTGCCCTGCCCTGCTTCCCCACGCCCCAGTCCAGGCTGAGTATCCTCAGCCCTGTTGGGTTGCACTCATCCAGAAGCTGGGGCTAAGACTTCAGAGCCTTGAGGTCAAGATCAGGATTCCAACCAAAGAGTACAATGGGGAAGGGGAGGGAGGGGCGGCTTGATGGGTCCCCAAGGCTGCAGTCATTCCTTGAGAGGGAGGAGAGCCCGGGCAGAGGCTTTTGTAGTTTGTGGCCCATGGGCCTGGTTTCAGGGCAACAAGAGACTCCTGTCAGAGAAGGGAGCCTTGAGCAGAGCCCTGTAGCTCGGCTGTGGGGGGACAGGGGCGCAAAGGCTGAATGTGAGAATATGAAGTACAGGGGTCCCCAGGCTGTCCCTGCCAGTCCCTTTTGCAGGCAGGAGGGGGAGGGCCGGCCACGCATGAGCCATGGGACAGGCACAGCATTACCAGGATGAGCTGAGAGCCTGGCTCAGGCAGTAGCTATCCTGGGCCCGGGTTCTGGGATGAAGGTGGCACAAGATCCTGTGACCTGCTGGCTGTTATTGTGGCTCCACATGCTGTCACCTCCCTAGAGCATGGTCACTGGAGAGGACCAGCTGCAATCTGAGCTCCAGGGTCAGTCGGGGGCACCCCTGGCCCCTCTTCACTGGTATCCAGGCTCTGGCCTGCAGCTCCATCCTCAGACACCTCACACAGCAGCCCCCCACAATCTCCCATCTGTAAGGGAGCAAACAGTGCCCCCAGCAGCACCTGAGACTCGGCCCACCTCCCACAGATCCTCCCAGCACCCAGGCAGACTGGGCAGTGTGGCTCACTTCTGGAAACACAGGCCCATGGGGAGGGAGGAGCACAGCTTAGGGTCAGTCTGCGATGCCTGTCAGAGCTGTATTATCGATGCAGGAGAGGGCTGGCAGCAGAGGGCTGGCAGCAGAGGGCTGGCTCCCGGGTGCTTCCACTGCACCAAAGGGCTCTGCCTCTCTGACCCTTCCCTCCATGTCTTTCCCCCTCCAGCTCCTCCTCCCGAGAGCCCTCCCTCAGTCATGCCCCCAGGAGCTGCCTGTACCTAAGTTTCTCCTGACACCGGGAATCCGGCTGGGGAGGGCTCCCGAGGGGCAGCAGCGTGTCACCTGCAAGTATCAGCTCTCTTCCTCCTCCCTTCGGGAGCACGGCAGTAAAGCAGAGTCCCCCTTTCTCATCTCCTGACAGTCCTCCGGGCTGCTGCGAGCCCCCCTGGGTGCATTAGAGAACAGCATCAAGCGACAACAATGAGCAACGCCAGCCTAGCTGGTCCAAGGGCTGCAGTGAACTTTATTAGGAGCCCAGGTCGAGTGTCCAGAGGCCTTTTCTGAAGCCACCCCAGTCTCTGTTGTTCAGGGTGAATGCCTTCCATGCTCGAGAGGCCTTGTCCTCGGAGGGCCTTGTCGGCACCCAGACCTGATGGGTCCAGTCCATCTTCTCCTGTCACCTTGGGTCATCTGTGCAAAGGCCTTCACCAGGAGCTCAAAGCATGGCCACCAGTTTGAAAGTGCCCTCGGGCTTGGCGGGGACCACGTGGACGAAGGTCTTGTAGAGCACAGCGCCCTTGGGCAGCCTGGTGACCAGATCTACTGCGTCCGCATCTTTGGGGTTGGGCACGTAGACCTCCTTGGTGAAGCGGACGGTGCCCTCCTCCAGGGCATACAGGTACTTCCTCTTCCCCAGCCCCACCTGTAATGCACAGGGCCAGTCAGCGGGCCACAGCTTGGGCCATGACAGGAAAGGTTTCAGTCTAGTCTTCTTTGCGTCTTTGTGGCCCATCCTTAGCTTTTACATCATTACTGACTGTGGCAATGGGGAAAAGAAAACCCCAACAGCTGATCTGGGTGGTGGCTCACTTTTGTGGCAAACCTGGACTTAGGACCATGGAGCTATCCGGAAGCCACACCCAAGCCACTCCTGCAGAGACCCAGGGAGACAGGCCTCGCACAGCCGCACAGACCCAGGGAGACCGGCCGCTCATAGTCATACACACCCAGGGAGACAGGCCTCACACAGCCACACAGACCCAGGGAGACAGTTCTTGTCACAGTCATGGGCTGTGTGACTGCTGCTTTTAGTCCAGCTGCCATGGTAGACACATCTGCCATATGAAACACCCATTTTCACCTGTATCATGACTAATATCTCTATTATTTGCAAAGGGCTTTGGATATATACATCCAGGTCAAACAAATCTGCTACTACTGATACTGTGTGCAAATACTGTTCCAAGCCCCTCCACCCCACCCCCCTTTTTTGGTTTTGGGGCCACATCCAGTGATGCTAAGGGGTTACTCCTGGCTCAGTACTCAGGAATTGCTTCCCATGCAGTGCTTGGGAAACCACAAGGTTGTCGGAAATCAAAACGGGGTTGGCTGAGTGCAAGGTACAAGGTACAATGCAGGGCTGAGTGCCCTACCCATCATATTACCACTCTGGCTCCTGGCCTAGGCCCCCTTATAGATGTTAACCCATTTTGTTTTATTTGGTGAAATACGTACTATTTCTAGTCCTGTTTTTCATGCCAGAAATATGAGCAAAGAGTATATAGAGTTTTTGCCTTGTTTTGCTATGGGGCCACACCTGGCTGTGCTCAGGGTTCATTCCTGGCAGGCTGGGGGCCATCTGGGGTGCTGAGGATGAAACTGCATGGGGCAGTTGCATGCAAGGCAAACAAACACCTTGCCAGCTGTACTATTTCTCCAGCCACGAGATTATTAACAGTACAGACAGTTTGAAACACATTTATGTTGACCTTTTACAATTTGAATTTGGATACCTGGAAATTTCTGCCCAAGAAGCTGAGCATAATCTCAGATTTTTCTGATTTAAAAAAGAGGGCTCTGGAGCCAGGATGTCTGAGACACGTGAAGTATGACCTATATTGTGTGACCTTGGCAATTACCTTTACTTCACCATCTTAGTTTTTTCACCTGCAAAATATGGATAATAATAACTTTTTCACAGGGTCATTGTGAGGATTAATTCCTCAAGAGTTAACTTCCAAAGAGCTGAGAATACTAACCACTCAAAGCATGTTCATTTTTACTGTTTTGGTTATTTTGCTAGTGTCAAGAGTTAATACAATGCCTCAAGTTGTAAAAAAAATAAAGCAACTATATGTACAATCAACTCACATGCAAATTTGCATTTACAAAAATAATCACAGGTCTGAAGGGGCTGAAGAGATAGTCCAGGCATTTGCCACTGCGGTCCCTGGGCACCACCAGGAGTGATCCCTGAGCAGTCAGGAGTATCCCCAAAGCACACAGCCAGGTGTAGCCCAAAGAACCAAACAGAAGAAGATGGACACAACAGTGGTCATTCTTGCTCTACAGAGGATCACGAAGGAGAGGTATTAGGAAAAGAAAAAAAAAAAGCATGGGAAAGCTGCGGAATAACTCACGTGGGCGCCTGGGTGCCAGCGAAGGTTGCGCTGAGTCGCAAGGATGTTGCCAGCATGAACATAGTCCCCTAAAAAAGAAGTGTGTGAGGCTGTGCTCTCCCTTGCACACGGATCTCGCCTGCCTCGGTGCTTCTGTGCTTATTTCCACTCTGGAGAAGCCTGTGTCTTCTCTTGAACATGTACTTCACTCTTTCTCTCCCTTCCTATCTTTCTAAATAAGTTTCAATAAAAGCTCTCTTGTGTCACCATTTTGCCTCCTCCTGAATTCTTCTCTGTGATGGACCAGGATGGTGCGTGCAGAGGTTGGGGCTGACCTGAGTTGGTCGGGCATTTCCCTGAGCACTGAGGGCTGAGGTAGGTTGAACAGAGGTGGAAACATTCTTTTCAACCTCCCTTGCCCCCTCCTTTACCCAGCCACTGGCGACAAGATCAACCCCCAGCACCAAGTCCCACCCTCCCTCCACACTGCCAAGCGGCCCTGGTGGCCCCCCCACTGCCAGGCCTGAGCAACTCTGTGTGTCACGAGGCCGAAACACTGAAATTTTAGGTCCACACGGTAGTGCTGGGGGTGGCTCTGGGCCCCCTGAATACTGCCTGGGAGCATGTCTCCCCAAATAAATAACATAGATGCCAAAAAGAAAAATGAACTTAAAAAAAAAAAAAGAGCAGTGAGCCAGCACTGAGCGCAGCTCCGTGGCAATACAGCAAATGACTAAAAAAACTAGCCCACCCTCGCGCTGCTGGCGCCTACCTCTAAGTCCACCAGGGCCCTCCCCGCACCCTTGGCTGCCCCTCTCAGTCACACGCTAGCAATGGCACCGCTCTGCTTTTCATCAGGAACCCCGCCCTGCTTCAGGTACGAGCTGTCCCTCTAGTAGAGGGGTCCTGTCCTCGGGGGGAGGCAGGACGAACAATGGGGGCTGAGCAGAAAGCAAGGGCCAGGCACTAGGTGGACTCCTGCTCTGCAAAGGACAGCCAAGGGCAGCAGAGTGGAGTGCAGCTGGGACCGGGAAACCAAACCGCAGGCTCACCATCCATCTTCCTGAGGCCATAGTGTTTGCCCCGGGACTTTCCACCCAGGTTTTTGGAGCTGCCACCCGTCTTCTTAGATGCATATCTGACTGTAAGAGCAGCAGGCTGGGGGGTGCTCAGCAGGGCTGAAGCTGCAGGAAGAGAAGAGAAACGGTTCAGGGTAACTCGAAGCCTGGGAGGAAGTGTGAGCAGACACCTCACTTGACTGTTAGCTTTCAGGGGTGTCTGGAGGTGCTTGAGCTCCTCTTATGGCAGGCCTCTTTGTGATAACAAAGAGCCCAAGGGCAGGGACAGTGAAATATTAATGGGGATAAAAGATGCTGCTGTCTGTGGACCCTGACACTTTCTGTCCTGTTGAGGAGAAACACCACAGAAAGGCACACCAAGAGCCACCACGGAAATACCTGGTTCAGCCTCACTCACCACCAGGCCCTCAAGGCTGCAGGCTCTCTGCAGGGGCTGGAAGACCAAGACCTAGCTCTCCATTCACTGGCCACACACCAGCCGCTTGGCAACCAAAAGGTGAGCTTGAGTTTTCCACAGGTGCTGGGCCACCTGAGGAGATCGGGTCCTTTTCCCACAGGTTCCAGGTCCTACCAACAGCAACCCCAGGCCTTAATAAGCTGACCTTGCTCCCCTCATTCCACGAATCCAGATGACCCCAGACAGCAGCCCCTCGCAGCAGGGCAAGGCCGGCAGCTCTGGCTTTTGAGTCTCCCATCAGCCATGGCTATCAGGACCATTCCAAGGCCTCTAAGGGGGACCTCGGGTCTCCAGAGTCTCACGTTCCTAATGCCCAGAGTTTCCTGAGAACTGAGACTAACTGGGGCAGGGCTCAGAAACCTAGCCAGAGGGTCTGGGTACAGAGGGGCAGGCACTTGCCTTGCCCGTGGCTACAGCCATAGGGCAATGGTTTGAATCTCAACACCACATGTGAAAGAGAAAGCCTCAGTTGCCCTTGCTAGCTGCTGCCAACAGCACCATTTGAGCTGTCTCCACTCCACATTTCAAACATGCCTGCAAATTCCTGGGCTCTGAGAATAGTAAGTTAACAATTTCCCAAGATCATGGATTCTGCCCCAGACCTTAAGCTCACTGGAAACTAAGAGAAAACTGAGAATACTTGGGCAAACGGCCAAATGAATAAACTAAAAGGTACTAAACTAGCCAAGGTACCACTCTACAGAATCCCTGCATTCTCTTTTAACATTCCTGCCATTTGACAAATAACATAAAGGCCCAGTTTTCCTATAAAAACTCCACAAAGCAAGCTAAATTTAACTTAGTCCTATACTAAGTTCCTCCCCACCTGGGGAGTTTCTTTCTACTTTCCCACAAACTTTTCTATTTTCTAACTCTGAATGTGAGCATCTGTATAACTCAAGATTTTTAGTTTTGAAACAAAATTATCATTTAAATTTTTAAATTATAATTAAAAAACAATTATCATCCAGGTACCTAGGAACCCTGGATGAAAACAGAGACCCACATCAAGGTCTCCAGAGAGCTTACCTGGAGAGCCCTGAGCATGCCTGGTATGTGCACCCTAACCCCCGCCAAAACAGTAAGTACAACCACACAGCAACAGAACTACCTATCTCGACTACTCCCTCTTTATTTTTCGCCCTTATTAAGGTCAGGAGCAGGACTTTTATCCACATTATGTCATTCACACCTCGCCTTTACCGTATTTCCTGTCCTCCTCCAAGGACAGTGGCCACCATCGTCACTGACCCGTTCCCTTCCTAATCTCTCATATTCAGTTCGCCAGCAAGCGCTGTGGATTCGATCTCCAAAACCGCTCAGGAACCCACGTGCTGAATCCAGGTTCGCAGACGCAACGTGGCTAGAAAGTCATCTCGCCAGCCCCGTCCTGTCTTTCCATCCCTTTTTCCGCCTTTCCATTAAAATTCGGAGGAGCCCTCGCATCTGAGTCATAAAATTGGGTCAAGTCACTCCCCCGGCCCCCGACTCTCCTGCAGGCACAGGACTCGGGCCCATCCTTCGGAAGTGAACTGAGACGTCGACGGCCTCAAGCCTCCCCGACCACCAGTCCTAGAAACAGACACACGCTTGGGTCGATTACTGGGCTTTTATTTCATGCGCGGTTCGCTGGCTCATCCGCGGGAAAGGGCCGTCCAGCAGGGAGGGACCGTGTTTATTTATTTATATTTTAATCTCCTCTGCTGGGCTCACGGCCACCTCGCACGGCGACGGGCACAGAGGCAGAGCTCAGTCCACTGAACCAAGGGCTTTACTTTCCGTGCCTGCAGCAGAGCCCGCGGACCATCTGAGCACCGGAGGGGTCTCCGAGCACTGAGGCCGGGACACGTGCTCCGGAGCCACGCCCGCGGCCCCGCGCGCAGCGCCGCCACGTGACCGCGCCCCTTCCCCCCCCCCCCCCCCACAGCCCCCAGGGTGCTCCGAGGACACGGCTGCCAGATCCCCGGGGTCCGGGACCCCGCAAGGGGCTCCACTCCGCCTCCACCCCTCGCCACACCCCGGCCCCGGTGTCCCGTTACCAGCCGCCCGCGTCCTCAGCGCCAGCGCCGCTGACGCCATGTTTGCCACCCGAGAGCTTCCGGTGTTCTGAAACAGCTGCTTCCGCCAGCCCGGGATCTACTTCCGGGTCAGCGCTGCAATTCAAAGAGTGGCGGGACAGCGGCAGGTGAGCGCTCAGGCGGGCGGCCGCGGGTGTCCAGCGTGGGTCCGGGAAGCCAGGAGCCCGGGGCTCCGTTCCACCGGTGCAGGAGCCGCCCCGCGCTGGTACCGAGCGGGCGCAGGGGCGCGCTGTCCCGACTGCTTCATTTTGCAATCCTCCACCGCCCAGGGAGTGGACAGGATTAAAGCCCACCCCACCCCCATCTCACCCCCGCCCTCCCCCACGCTCGCCTCCTGTCCAGTCCTTTGATCTTGCTTTACTGAGCGCTTGCTGGGTACCAGATGCTGCACTAAGTAGAGAAGTAAAGGCGTGATTTTATTTATCCCCGTGATTATTCCTGTTTTCAGTGGAGAGATAGTATAGCAGGCTGGGTGCTTGTCTTGCTTGTAGCTTACCGGGGTTCATCTCCAGCACCACATATGGTCCCTTGAACCCGCCAGGAGTGAGCGCTGAGCACCGCCGGGTGTGGCCTGAAAGCCGAACAAAATGAAGAAACGAGACCTAGAGAGGTTACATCACTCATCACAAGTGACACCTACAGTGTTAGGAAATATTTGTTCAAATAAATCTTCCATGGCACCCAGCAGTAGCATTGCTAGGTATATGTACAAGATAGTTGAAAACATGCCCACACAGAAGCTGGTGCATGAATGTGCTCAGTAAAAACTGGAGATACACCAGATGCTTATTCTGTGATGAACAGATAACATGTGGCATTATCTATACAAAGATTATTCAGGCACAAAGAATAAGTACCAGAATATAAATGAACCTTGCAAACATTGCTCTTAGTGGAAGAAGCCAGTCACAGAAGACCACTATGTGGTATGATTACATGTATGATTACATATTCAAGACAGAGAAATACCCAGGCACAGAAGTAGACTTGTGGTTGCTGTGAGGGGATGTGAGACAGTGGCTGCTTCGTGATTTCGTGACTGTGGGATTCCTTTAGGGGATGAGATCATGTTCTGGACTTAGTGGTGGTGGTTGCGCAGTTGTGTGAATTTACCAAAAATGACTAAACTGTCTAACAATGTTTTATTGATGGGTGAGGGATTTGGGCCACACCAAGAGTCCCGCCTCATGATGCTCAGGGGACTGTATGTGGTGGTGGGGATTGAATCAGGATTGGCCATATGTAAAGCCAGTGCCTGAGCCTCTGTGTTATCTCTCTGGCTATCACCTAGCCTTTCCACTTTCCAGACAGAATGTGCTGGGTCCATGTCCTGTTTCTCTCTTTCTCTTATTTATCACTGTAAGTCTTGGCCGTGGACCACATCTAATGGGTTGAATTCACTGTCTCTTTTCCTCTCAGGAGACCAATTTGATGGCTGTGCGGAAGCCGTCGCTCTTCCTAGACTCCAGTGAGAGTGACTCTGAGGTTTTGCCAGTGTTCACCTTCCTGAAGAAGGAGCCACCTTCCATTCAGAAGCTGCCTCAGAGGGCAGAGCAGATCGTTGTGGTTGACACTTCAGGTTCCGAGGCCTCCTGCCCACCGTCACCAAGGTGGAGAGACCAGTCCCCTGTCCCAGGAGTGACTGAGACCGACATACAGAAAGAACCGGCTGAGGTGCTGAGCAGTGGCAGTGAGGATGGGGAGGAATTTCTTCCCCTGGTCCAGCGGCTCAAGTGCAAGTTTTTGGCCCCTAAGCCACAGAGCCCTGACAGCTCCCCAGTCAAAACTGTGAGGCCTCATCAAAATAAGGAAGGAGCAACAGCATGTGACTGGACACAACAGCCCCTCCCAAAGATCCTGAAGGAGGCCCTTCCTGCTGTCCCAGAGGGAGGCGTGCGGAACCCCCAGAACTCTGCAGAGGACCCCCATAGCCTCAGTGCTGCGGCTCTCCTACCTCAGAAGACAAGCAGGCCCCGGCAGAAGGCGCCGAGAGGAGGCTCGCAGGGATGCCAGCAGCGGGCACGCGTGAGCCAGGAGGAGAGACGGAGGAAGGCGGCCCTGGCTCACCAGCTCAAAGCCCAGAGACCAGAGGAGTGCTTAAAGCACCTGGTCGTGGTGCTCGATCCAGGTCCTCCTCACTGCTATCCTCACGTGGGCTGTGTTCCCTTTGTTTAGAGGGTTCCACCCACCCCTGACTGCTCCTTCCCTGTTTCTTGCAGAACTCTTACAGGTGGAAGGTGGGGGCCAGCTCCTCGGTGCCCTGCAGGCCATGGAGTGCCGCTGTGTGATTGAGGCCCAGGCTGTGCCCTGCAGTGTCACCTGGAGGAGGGCCAGGCAGGCTGAGGTAGGGCAGTGCTGGACCCCCCCCCCCAATCTCCCCCCCTCCCCAGCTTCCTCAGAATGACAGGTGCCATCTGCTCTGTTCTGAAGGAGACCTGTCAGTCAGGGCCCCGGCGGGAACACAGATGGCTTAACTGAGGGGGATTTAATGAGGGGACTGTTGTCTTCCAAGACGTGGGCAGGGGACCAGGAACTGCCAAGGACCAAGTAGTGCTTAGGGCCAGTCCCAGCACCGCTCATGGCTTCTCACCTCTGCTACTGTTCTGTTTTTCCTTTGTGAGTGGCTGGGGAAGGGGTCACATGCCGTGGCGCTCAGGGCCTACTCCAGCCAGGCTCCCCTGACATGTCCTGGGGATTTGAAGCGGGGATTGGCCTGGGGTCGGAAGCGTGCAAGGCAAGTGCCTTAATCCCAATACTATCTCTCCGGCCCAGCATGTGATTATTAATTTGGGATATTAAAAAGCCTTTATTTGGGGCTGGAGCAATAGCATAGCGGGAAGGGTGTTTGCCTTGCATGTGGCCCACCCAGGTTCAATTCCCAGCATCCCATATGGTCCCCCTGAGAACCACCAGGAGTAATTCCTGAGTGCGGAGCCAGGAGTAACCCCGGTGCAATTGCTTGGTGTGACCCCAAAAAGAAAAAAAAAAGAAAAGCCTTTATTTGAGGGGATGAGCTTTGTTTTATTGCAGTATGGGGTGCAAAGGAGTGGGGGATAGAATAGAACAGGGTTCTTAGATGCAAAACCTGAACTCCAGCCCTCTGAGCAACCCCCATTCCAAGCCTCTTTGTTTGCAGAGCAGCTTCACCATTCGAGGTCCCCCACAGTCTTGCTCGAGTTTCAGTAGCATTTACCCCACCTCGGGGATGAACTGCACACCCCACATTGCAGTGGGTGAAGGCTCAGAGAGGTCGAGTCTTGCCAAGGACCTTGGCCGAGCCATATAAAGCAGAAAGTAGAACCCAGAGTTCCGGGCCAGAGCCATAGCACAGCGGGGTAGGGTGTTTGCCTCGCATGCCGCTGACCCGGGTTCTATCCTCCACATCCCATATGGGTCTCCTGAGCACTGCCAGAAGTGATTCCTGAGTGCAGAGCCAGGAGTAACGCCTAAACATTGCCGGGTGTGACCCAAAAAGCAAAAGACCAAACAAACAAAAAACCAAAACCCAGAGCCCTGCCCTGCCTTCATTTTGTTGTATTGTGGGGGACCCAGCTGGAAAGCTCCCTGCTAATGTCCTGCTCCCCGGAGACTGCACAGTCTTGAGGTGCTGGTGGGTGGCCGGCCTGGGGCGAGGCCCATGGCTGAGGGCCTTCACCCCAGAAGCTTGGGTCTCTCCCGGGCGCTCTCACCCACACTTTCCACTGGCTTCCTGCCCTCTGACAGGACGGGGAGGAGGACTGGGTGGAGGAGCCCGTGGTCCTGGTGCTGCTGCCAGCCGAGGCGCTCACACCCCTGATCGGCAGCTTCAAGCAGGTGAGTGGAGCTTATGGAGGTGGGCGTGCAGGGCAGGGCCCCCTCCCTCAAGGGAACAGGCATTCATGTGGCTTCTGCCCCCTCATACAGGCCAGTCGGGGAAGTGCTGAGAAGGGGAAGGAGACTCTGTGCAGTTTTGTCACGGACATCATGAGCAAGACGGCAGGGAAGGCTCTGTCACTGCTGATTGTGGACCAGAAGCCCCCGAGGTTTGCACTTGCCCTCAAGACTTTATGGGACCAGAGAGATGGTACAAGGGGTGAGGGGCTTGCCTTGCACGCAGCCCACCCAGGTTTGATTCCCCAGTCCTGCCGGGAGTGATCCCTGAGCACTGCCATGTGTGGCCCAGTAACCGCAACACTTTGCAGTCGGCGTTGGCCTATGGGGGTGATTTGTCATCTCAGACTGGGTCCCAGACACGCCGCCGTGTGTGTGTGTGTGTGTGTGTGTGTGTGTGTGTGTGTGTATGTGTGTGTGTGAGATGGGGGGTGGCGCTGGTCCCGGCTTCTCTTCTGCCTCTGCTCAGCTACTCTTGTGCACTCTGGTTTCCTCTATTGCTCCAGTGCTCCGAACCCTCCCCGGAGAAGGAAACAGGGTGCGGGGGTGCCCAGAGACCGGGCCAAGGAGAAGCCAGTGCAGAGACAAGCAGAGGCCGGCATCGGGCCAGGGGTGTCCAGGTTGGATGTGGAAGAGGTAAGAGTGGCTGGAGCCCGTGTCAGGCCGGGTCCCTCCCCAGGGGCCAGGGTGCAGGCATGGTGAGCCGCTCGCACACCCTCCACCCTGTCCCCCGCCACCCCCCGGGCTCTTCCTAGGCGTTGGTGGAGCTGCAGCTGCACACCATGGCGCAGGCACTCACCGTGCACAGCTGGAAGGAGCTGGCCGAGTTGGCGTGTGCCTTCACCAAGGCTGTGGCTGAGGCACCCTTCAAGTGAGTGTCCTGGGCATGCACACCCTTTCCTGTGGGGAAGCCCTGACCCCGTCAGCCCTAGGCCAGTCTACTTCCCCAGCTAGAGCTGACCTCACCTGGGCTCTCGGGAGAGCCCTCCACTCTAGTACTCTTAGGCCCTCTGATGGTTCAGTGTCCAGGCCAGTCGCGCAGCAGCACTCGGCCCAGGGCACTGGGGGCCACCAGGGCCAATGCCTAGCAGTGCTTAAGGGGCCGTGTGGGGCTGGGGGTCCAACCCAGGGCCTCTCATGTGCTGGCCCCCAGTTCACTGCCTCTGAGCTCTGGGCCCTTTGGAACGTGCTGCTTCAGCTCGGTATTAAGTTGCTGCTAGGTCCACACCAGGCCAAGTGACTGGGATTTATTACAGGTCAGGTCCAAAGAGATGAGCTCTCATAGAACAAGCTACTGTTAGCGCACTGTGCTCAAGGAGTTACACTTTTTATTTTTAATTTAAATTTTGGGGGCCCCACTGGCAGTACTCCGGGAACCACAGATGGTGCTGGGAATTGAACCTGGGTCAGTCTTGCCCAAGGCAAGCAGCCTCCCCACTAAACTCGGGTCTCTCTAGCCCCAAGTCCTGGTTCTTCAAGAGGGACCTCCGAGATAGCTGAGTCCTGTCCTTCATTTTCCACCTGAGACCTGCAGGGACTGATTTGTCCCGGCTTCTACTGTGGTGGCAGATCCACAGCTAGACTTCCAGTTCCTGTCCCTTCCGGTATGGGGTGAGGCCCAGCCGGGCCCTGCCCGCCGCCACACTTCACCATGCCCTTGGCAGGAGGCTCCGAGACCAGACAAGCTTCTCCTTCTGCCTGGAGAGCGACTGGGCTGGAGGCGCTAAGGTGGACCAGGCCGGCAGGGGACTTGCCCTGGTGTGGCGGAGACAGATTCAGCAGCTGAACCGCGTCAGCCTGGAAGTGGCCAGCGCCGTGGTAGATGCCTACCCTGCCCCGCAGTTGCTGCTGCAGGTACCGCTCTGGACTCGTGCTCTGGGGGACAGCGTTGCCCCCCGCCCCGTGCAGATCTCAGCATGGACTCAGGAGGGAGGGCAGGGCCAGTGGGTGTGCCCCAGCCCAAGACTGCATGGCATGAAGTGGCCACTTCCCCTTGCAGGCCTACAGGAGGTGCTCTTCAGAGCAAGACCGCTGGCGGCTGCTGGCTGACATAAAGGTGCGTCGTGGGGAAGGGGTGACGGCCACCTCCCGCCGAGTGGGGCCTGAGCTGTCCCGGCGTATCTACCTTCAGATGACGGCTCTGCAGCCAGACCTCTGCTTAGACAGCACAGACTGACGTCCCCGTGGGGGTTGTGGGGGGCTGGCCATCGTGATGGGGGGGGGGCACCCGCCCTCCAGCTCAGAGGGAAAGGCTGGACGGTTCCTTCCAGCCACAGCCGGCTTCCGAGCACCCACCACCCTGCCCGCCAGCCAGACGCCCCCCTCAAACACAGGCACAAGGACAGACCACTCAGACACGTATTTAATCATGTAGAGATCCCAAAAACCTCAGCATCCCATCTGGTGCTCATGCGGAACTGCCCCGGAGGCTGTGCGCCCCCACCGCCCCCCACCCCAGCTGCCTCCCCAGCCAACCCAGGAAGGGGCCTAAAGCCTGTGCGCGCTCTCACCTACGCCCTGGGGTTCTTTTCAATAAAGCATCTGGACCACTGGCTTGGGGGACTGACGGAATGTGGAGTGATCTTGAGCAGGGGGTGGGCCTGCATGCGCAGCACAGCTAGCCCTGGGAAGGAAGGAACAAGCCATTGCTTCTGGGGTGAGGGCAGTCCCGGGGCGGGGTTCTTGGGTGCCATCCCTGCTGGGTCTGGTCTGTCCTGAACCCGGGCCAGGCTCTGGATGTCCCTAGGGAGACGTGGACCTTTGCATTCACCGTTAGGGGCTGAGTCCCAGCACACCCCGGCCCTGAGCAAGATGCTCTCTGGGATGTGCATGAGAACAGCTGCCAGCCCTGCCCTGGCCCCTGTCAGCAATGACACCTGTGTCCCTCATCAGTGCCACAAAAGGTCCAGGAAACCATTCGAAGCCTCCATCTCTCTGGGGCTTTCATGGGGACTGCCCTGAGGTTATATGGTCGCGCCAGTCCAACAGCTATCGGACCTGTGTCCTCGCTGGCGTCAGGGAGAGCCTGCTCCCAGACAGAGGCCACGTGCCACCCTGCCCACTTGTCAGCACCACAGCAGGGCAGGAACCGTCAGGGCTTTTCCCACGCACCCGAGGTCTACCCTGGATCTGTGTCAGGTCTGCTGTGGGCTCTGGCCTCTTGGGACTGACAAAGGGCAAGAGCACAGCAGGGGGGAGGGGTGGGGAGGGGATGGCCACCGCTGCCCCAGCCGGGCTGGGGGAGCACAGGGAAGCCACGGGGGCCTGAGGTTCTATCTGCTCCCTGGAACGTGTGAACGTCTGAGGTCCTTACGAAAATAGATATCCCCACCCCCGCCCCCCAATGTAAGCTGCAATTGCCGAGTGTGGTGTTCCCTTAGCTCCCCAACAACACACTGCCTCTTGCTCTGCCCTGGGAGCCCAGGGGGAATGAAAGAAAGGGTTTGTGACATACAAAAGTATAAATGTAGTGACAGCTGACCATTTAGTAGAAATGAACCTTGGCTTTACACAGCTCTGTGGAACAACTAGAAAAGGCCGTTTTTTTTTTTTTTTTTTTACCCCCAGCTCCCCGCCCCCAAGCCTATTTCTCCAGGCATGCAGGTCACTGTCCCCACCTCCCGCGTCGTCACCTGGCTCCGCTGGGGGGACCCTGACTGGGGCACAAAGAAGTCCTACGGAGAGGTCCTGAGTCCCGGTCAGCAGCCCCGCGGCGGCGCAGGTGGCGGGCCGCGGAGAGCGCTCGTGTCCAGCAGAACCCAATTCCATAGGCATCCACGGGGCGAGGCCGGGGGTGGGGAGGGGACGGCGGCGCTGGGGCCGCTCACTGCTGCTGCGAGTCGGTCTGCAGGACCCAGCGCAGGAGGTCGTGGCCACGCAGCCCCCGGAGCGCGTTGTCACAGAGGGCATTGACGCTGGTGCAGAGCGGCTGCCGCTGCAGCGCCGTCACCCGGCACACCACCAGCCCGCCCGCCACGCACAGCAGCAGCAGCAGCAGCAGCTTCAGCACAGCCCACGACCGCGTCTGCTTCCGGGGTGGCGGCTTGCGGGGCCGAGAGCCGGACTTGGATTCTGGGGGAACAGTCAGGGTAGGCAACAGATGCTCAGTGGGTTTGGGGTGACCCGGCAGTGCTCACCTCCCAGCAGACTCGCTCCCACCTTCTCAAACCATGGTCTCCGCTGTGGGGCTGACCTGGGCCTAAGCCCCCTGGGGCCCCCACGCCCTCCCCCCAAAATCCTCCCCCCCACCCCCGTTCAGTTTGCTAACACCATATGGTCCCCTGGAGCACTGTTGGGTGTGGCCCCCCGCCCCCGCCCCAATTCATGACTTATTTTTTAAAGGAAGAACATCTGAGCTCTTGAAAGCGTTGCTAAGCAGAGACTCCAACATAAACCCTCCCCCTGAGGTCTCCGGAGAACATTCAGGCCTGGAACTCATTCTAGGTGTCTCAGAGCTCGTGGTCCCCATGGGCCTCAGCTCCATTACGTGGTGATGACCCAGGCCCCTCGGGATCGGGAGGAGGGGCCAGCGGCCACAGCTGACCCAAACCCTTGCTGCTGTGATTATCAGAGAGAGATCCCCTGGTCCCAGATGACTCCTGGGCCTGGGCTGCAGCAATCCCCATTTCCTGACTTTACATAAGACTCCGAAATGCCTGTAGAGAATACATGTAGCACACGTGCGATCAGGGGAAACAAATTATCCTGAGACTCTGCAGCAGTTTTCAAACTGACTGAGCTGCAGCCAGGGCCACCAGCAGTGACAGACCAACCTCACACATGTGAGCCCCTTGAGTCAAGCGCCACAAAACCAAACAAAAAAAGCAACATCTGCTCCCCACTCTTTCTTCCCCTCTAGCCCTGACAAAGGATATTAAACTCTCACCCCAACACCTTGGCTCAGCACCCCGTGGCAAGAATGGCCACAATGTCATTTTCTCCCTATTCCCATCTCTTCATGTCCCCCAAAAGGGTAGGTGAGGCCACTTGCTCACAGTGAGCGGGAGCAGCAGGGACCGGGACAGGGACACTGGTGCACATGCAGCCCTGCCGGCGACCCTCCTGGCCCAGATATGTGGAGCCGTCCTGACATTCATTCAACGTGGAGCTCATGCGGCGCACCTGCTGTACACGTGACCTCACATGCTGCATGTATGACTTCCTGGTTCCTTTTGACCCAGGGAGCAACCCTGGCGGTGCTTGGGCTTTGGAGAGAACCTGGTCCTACACTCCTTCCCCGGGATGTGGGACTCAAGTCTGGGGCCCCAGGAGGGCCATTCTGCCACCACCCAGCCGAGGCCCCTCCCCCAACACCCCGTGTGCCCGCCACGGAAAGGACACCTACTCGGGGCCTGGTTTGCCTCCTTCTTGGGCTTCTTCTCCTGCTCCCGCTTGGCTGCCTTGAGCGCATCGTACTCCTTTCTCCGACGCTCCTTTTCTTCCGCCTTCTCCCGCTTCCGCAGCTCCCGCTCCTGGGCCTCCTTGGCCCGCTGCTTGGCTTCCCGCTTCTTCTCAGCCTCTGAAGAACATGCGCCCAATGACTGCTCCCCCGAGCCCCTCTGTGCTTTCCCCAGGGGCGTGAAGCACAGGCGAGGCTGCCGGGAGAGGGACTACAAGCGGCCAAGTGCTCCAGGGATGCCGCATCTGGGCAGCTCACCGAGGGGCCCTGGGCCCCTGCAGGAGAGCTTGTGGGGAAATGGGGCCACGGGCCATGAGGCAGGTGCCCTGCAGGAATTCGGGACAGACAGAAGACACAGCGCTGACAGCTTTCCTCAGCTCAGGCAGAGAGGGCACCATGGAACGCCAGTGAGCCAGAATGGAGCACGGAAGGCAAGTCCCAAGAGAACGAGAGTCCTCGTGTTCAGAGGCAGGGATGGGAACATTTTCCAAAAAAGAGACCAGCTGCTCCTCAGAGAGCTTGCTCTGGAGGTCGACTCAGAGCAAGGGCACGCACTAACATCAGGGCGCAGGCGCGTTTACATGCAGTGCCCAACTCACTCACAGGGCGCTGGGGTCTGAAACAGTACCTCCAAACCCAGGATCTGGAAGTCTGGGGCACCTTTCCCCAAGCCAGAATGTCGGGGATGAGGGTTCAATGAGCTGCTTAGAACTGAAGGGCCTCCTTGGATACAATGTAGCGGAACAGTCAGTGCTGTAGCTGTCCACAGCTGCTGCTGCTCAGACAAACAAGCTGGCACAAGCCACACCTGGCCTCCGGGGAGTACATGCCACCTCAGCAGTGGCTGCAGCAGTGGCCAGAGAAAACAGGGCGGCACAAAATCCCGCCAGTGGCAGGATGGCCTCCAGACAGGCTGCCAGTAAGCAGCACCTCACACCTCACACCTGCTGCACACAGGAGGCCCTGTCAGCCGTGTGCCAGGAGCTCCCGATACCGTGCTAAGGACAAATCGGTTCCAGTGCCTGAGTCGCCTACTTTCTAGAGAAGGAGACAAGAAACAAGTGTTCTGCACCAAGGAAGAGAGAGGGAAGGGGTGGGGAGAGATGGAGATGGAGAGGGAGGGAGGGAGAGAGGGAGGAGAGGGAGAGATTGAAAGGGAGAGAGAGGGGCTGGAGCTATCACAGTGGGTAGGGCGTTTGCCTTGCACGCGGCCAACCTGGGTTCAATTCCCAGCATCCCATATGGTCCCCTGAGCACTGCCAGGGGTGACTTCTGAGTGCAGAGCCAGGAGTAATCTCTGTGCATCGCTAGGTGTGACCCAAAAAGAAAAAAAAAGGGAGAGAGAGGGGGAGAGAGGGAGGCGGAGAGGGATAGGAGATGGGCCACTCCAGTTGGTGGGATCAGAGGGTCAAAGCCAAAGGCAACCTGGCATGGCGGGAAGAGACTCCCAGAAGTCTCGAAAAGCCCCTGCGGCAAGTCCCTCCTTGGCGAGTCCCACTGGTGCAGGCGCAGCAGGGCGGAACAAAACTGTGCCCCGCCCGAGAGCCATAGTGGGCCTGGGCAGGCCTGGCTGGCCATACTGCAGCGCTGGAACTTCGTGCTAAGTCCAATTCGAAGCCACTAATGGGCTTGAAGCAGACGGCTGCATAATTGATTTGCTTGAAAAAGCTCTCCCTGGTCACTGGGTGCCAGAGGGGTGGAGAGAGAGTCCGTGTGAGGAGGGGCGGTGGCCCCTGGGGGAGCAGGGAATGGAGCCATGTAGAGGGGGTAGAAAGCCCCCCTGCTGAGAGCCCGAATGTGGAAGAAACCCCAAGTTCAGGCTCGAGGAAGCACAGGAACCCCCATTGCTGGGGGGCGTGAGGGGATGGGCTTGTGTCAGCTTCTAGGCAGGCTCAAAGGAGAGGCTGGGCAGGGACAGGGGCTAAGCCGGAGACCAGATGGCATATGTGTGAGGCCCAGGGGTTCTGGCTCCTTACAGACCTTCTCGTTCTTTATAGACTTTCTCATTCTTTACAGACCTTCTGAACTCCCTGCACCCCCCTCGGGCCCCCCCCACCCAGACGGCCCAGGAGAGATGCCCACTGCTTACCTCGTTCCACTTCCAGTCGCCGCTGCCTCTCCCGCTCCTGGTCGGCCTGCACAGCCTTCATGTGCTGTAACACCTGCGAAGGCAGAGGCGGGCGCTGAGCGCTGGCAGCTCGCTCGGGGCACGCAGAGAGATGGCCCTTTCCCGGGCTCCAGGTCCCCGAGGCAGGCAGTGTGAGCCAGACGGGCCTGGCCCAGCCTAAGGCTTCCCTCCCCCACCCCCACCTCAGCTGGAGAAGGGCCAGCTCAGCGCAGGTCACGGAAGCCGCCAGAGAGCCGAGAAAGCAGGCCTGCAGCGCCCCGCGCTAACTGACGCTAACTGGGCCCTGTTCTGGCACTCCCAGACCTTCGGGGCTCCCCCTCAGGCTCCCCACCACTCTGCCTGCACAGCCTGTACCGGCCCACAAGCTTTCCTGACCCTCCAGCCCCTAGCCCCCGGTCTGGGCTTCCCTTCCCACAGACGCTCCCTTGGCCTCTTCTTCTAGGACTCCAGTTCTTGCAGGCCAAGGACTGCATTCAACACTAGTTTGCTGAGGAACTAGAGGGCCTGGAACTCCTGCCCGCCCTGCGCCAGGCTGGAGAGTAAGTCCAGCTGTCCCCAGAGCGGTGTTTGTTTGCTCGCGTCACGGCAGGGGAGGTTGGGAACCACCAGGCCCACGCCACACAATTTACGGACAACCCCGAAACCAGCAAGGCCTGTGGCAACATCCCGATGGTCTTGACCTAAAGGAGCCGCAGAGAGTGTTGCCACAGACACGGGACATGGTTAGGGGAGACAGTAAAAAGACTGTGGCCTTTCCAAGCCAATTTTCTCATCTGGAAAGAGGAGATAAGACCGGCTTAACTGGCCAGCGTGAAGATGATAAATGATGTAACTTGCACTGTTTGCACAACATCACCCCTGGTGTTATATGTGCTCAACCATTTGTTTCCCCTTTTTGTTCAACCACTTCTTTATCTTCTCAAATGAGAGAAAAACCTCAATGATTCTAAATTGAGACTGCAAATCCTTCGTGCTTCACGCACTGGACAACTGGCAGGAGTCCGTGTGCAAACATGATTGTCTGGAGCAAGGTGGGGACAAACGCACGCCATCACCCTGGGGCAGAGAGGCGCTGCAGAAGCTACTCCTTCCAGGGCCCTGGGGCAAATCCCCTGGGAGCCCTGTCCAGGCTCGCCAGCACCTCTTGGAGGGAGGGTCAAGTCCAAGAGCGGCTGGCGGCTCTGTATAAAGGGTTCAACGCTACAGAGGTAGGTCCAGTGCCACGTCCCAGTTATATTCTGAACTCAGAGCAGTAAAGAAGCACCACAGTAAATAAGCTGCTGCTGGGGACACAGCACCAGCTAATGAACAAGCAGGCAGAGCCAAGAGCTGCCCCTCTCCGCCTGGTCTGACACACCAGGAGTCCCTGGTCGGAAAGCCAGCCAGCCCAGAAATGGGACAGACTCGAGACTCTCTTCCCTCCCTCAGCCCCGGCAGACAGGAGCACTGGACAAACAGCATGACGATAACTAGTCTCTTTTGTTCGCTTCTGGGCCACATCTGGCGATGCTCAGGGCTTATTCCTGGCTCTGTGCTCAGGAATGGTGGTGCTCGGGGGACCATATGGGATGCTGAGAAGGCCGAACCCGGGTCAGCCACATGCAAGGCAAATGCTTTTCCTGCTGTACTATCTCTCCAGTCCCTTAATAACTAATCATTCTTAAGAGTCATTCACTGTGTGACTAACCCAGCACCCCTAGGTCTCTGGAATAGCACCCCTATTTGGTCAACTCCCCAGGCCTGCAGGGGGCCAGGGATTGTGGCCCACATCACCTGGACCCCCAGGGCTACCACTATGAGGTGCTGGCGGGCAGAGGCAGGTGATGCCAGGCAAAGTCCTGAGGGCCTGTCACATGCCCAGTGTGTGCTCCACTGCCGGAGCCACCTTCCCAGCCAATAAAAATCATTTTTGTCGATCAAAGCAGTAGAGTGCCAACAATTATAGGAGGTCTGCCCTCATTTTTAATTTTGTTTTGTATTTTTAATTTTTGGGGCCACACCCTGAGATGCTCAGGGACCACATGGGGAGCCTGGGATCGAACTCGGGCCTGCCGTGTGCTAGGCAAGCAAGCACCTTACCTGCTGTACTACCGCCCAGACCCCAGGTTTGCTCTTATCTGATAGGTGGAAAAATATCAAGTGTGTAACTTGTGAGGGTTTCATCCTGTGAGAGAAACAGAACTTTCTTCCTGCAGGTTTTCAGTGAGGGTCAGGAGGGGGAAGCTTAGAAACCAGGCAGGACCAAGAATAGCCAGGGGCAGGCACTGTGGGTCTCCAGCGCCCCATCACTCCCCGAATATCATGTCCCTGATGCCTGGGCCGTCCCACCCAGGGCAGAGTGGCCCGAGGGACTTGACTGCATCCTGTATGGCTTTCCTAGCAATGGGTCACCAGGTAAGGAAGCAGTCCTGAGCCACAGACAAAAGCAAGGGTGGGGGCTGGAGAGATAGCACAGCGGGTAGAGCATTTGCCTTGGTCATGGCCAACCTGGGTTCGATTCCCAGCACCCCATATGGTCCCCTGAGCACCTCCAGGAGTAATTCCTGAGTGCATGAGCCAGAAGTAACGCCTGTGCATCGCCGGATGTGACACGCCCCCCCCCCCCCAAAAAAAAAGTAAGGGTGGCCTCTCGCAACATCTACATGGAAACCTGTCAGGTACGTTTACTTTGCTCACCAGTCTCCCTAATCAAAGCCAAGTTGGTCATCTGGCGCGCAGTTAAACAAGCACTGGAGGGTTCAGAGGGAAAATGGCTATAGTAGGTGCTGCAGAGAGATAGATGGAGGCTTAAGACAGGACATGAGGGGCATCTGGGGGGTCATGGGCACATGTCTTGCATTCAGAAGGATCCAAATTAGGCACTGCAAGGCCCCCTAGGCCTCAAGCAGCCTGGCAGTGAACAGTTGAGGGAGTAGCATGGGGCCTGGCCCTGGGCCCCCTGAGCAGTGCTCAAAAAGAAAGAACAAAAAACTTTGCTGCAACTTTTGCCAGCCAACGTGCCCCCTCCCTTCCTCACTATGGTATCAGATGATTTTTTTTTTTTTCTTTTTGGGTCACACCCGGCGATGCTCAGGGGTTACTCCTGGCTTTGCACTAGAAATCACTTCTGGTGGTGCTCGGGGGACCATATTGGAAGCTGGGAATCGAACCCGGGTCGGCTGCATGCAAGGCAAACGCCCTACCTGCTGTGCTATTGCTCCAGCCCCGGTATCAGATGATTTGACCCAAAAGTTAACATTCCCTGTGTCCTGGATGTCTGTTTAGGATTACAAACTTACAAACACCAGCACCTTCAGGATCAAAATTCCTACAATATGACCCTTGCCCAGCCGAGGCCTCTACCCTCCTATTCTGCCCCACGTCAACAACGGCATGTGGGATTGCACCCAGAATGCAGCTGTGCAGAAGAGCAGCAGGAGTGGACGGCGAGGGAGGAGGGGGCCATCTGCTGACAGCCTGTGTCCACTAATGCTGAGGTCTCAGGCTCTCAGGAGGCCTAGGAAGGCAAACACGAGATGCCAAGGAGCCCTGGGGAGGGCCAGAGGACCCGAGGGGAGCGTCAACCTACCTTGTTGGCGCACTGCTTACACTGCTTCTCATCCAAACAGTCGCCTGCCACTTTGGCCAGGACAGGGTCCAGGGGGTTATCCTTCAGGTCCAGCCACTTCAGGTTCTAGAGGGACAGGCGGAGAGCTGGGTGAGCCCGAGCCCGCGCACGGCATTTTGAACGGGGGCCAAGAGCAAGCCGAGAGGCGGCCCCTGGGCTCCAGCTGCCTTTCACACGCCCAGTCGGGAGCAGGGCCGGTTACCTTGAGCTGGGCGAAGCTGACTGGCAGGGTGACCAGCCTGTTGTTGAGGAGGTCCAGGTGCTGGAGGTTGACCAGACGGCCAAAGTCGGCAGGCAACTGCTGCAGTTTATTCTTACTCAGGTCCAGCTTCACCAGGTGTGTGAGGCCACAGAAATCAGACTAAGGGGCAAAGAGAGGACAGCGAAGCCTTAAGTCTACCTTGCTTGCTTCCAACGGGCAAGGAGCCCCTGGGTCAGGGGCGCCTTCGGGGGAATCCCACTGCACCCCACTACCACAGCGAATGAACCTGGAGAGTGGCTGGGGACTTTGGGGCTTCAGGGGGGTGCAGCAAGATGTGCCCATAACGGGGTTGAGCGCACATGAGCGCTTCATTGTCCTCAGTTCTCCTGCCACCTTGCCCTCCACCTATCTGGCACTCGAGGACGCTTCGACCCTCCCACCACACCACAAGTCTGCCTTTCGCAGGAGGCAGACACACAGCGCCGCCCCGGCTCATTCTCCCGAAGCGCCTGAAGGCCTCTGCGTGGCTCCCCTCACTGCTTCCTTCAGCCTTTCCTTGCTTGCCTCTTGTCCTGCCTTGTGCTTCACTCTGGGACACCACCAGGAGGTGCTCAGGTGCTCAATGACCAGCCTTGGACATACAGAAGGACAGACCCAGCCCACCTGTGCCTTGCTCAGTACAGGTCCCTGGCCATTACGCCTCTGCTCAGCAGCCTTCTGAGATGACGTGCCAACCTCTGCTAACAAGGCACGCCCATGCTCTCGGGGGAGACTCTGGGGACTGTGCACGCCAGGAGACCTGCACTGCCGAGGGAACCGGGGCTGTGAGGGACATGAACGGGGGGGGGTACCCCAAGTGACTGACAAGGCAGATGGCGGGTCAGCCTGCGGAGACTGGCCCCGCCTCGATTCAGACACCAGATACTCTGGGAAGAAGTAGAACCCCAGGTGCATTTTCAGGGTTAGAGAAGGATCCTGATGAGCTACGGGAAGATGCTAGAAACAATCAGGGAGGCCCAGGAGACCGGAGAAGGCAGATCAACTAACGAGCCAGAGAAGAAACTGCCAACGGCCAAGATTCAGAGCATGAGCCAGGGCCTGGGAGGGAGGTGAGAGAAGGGGCCTGCGCCACGGATGGGAACAGGTCGGCCCTACAGGAGGAGCAGCCTGACCCACGGGAGGGAGGTTGGAGGGGGCGTGACCTGCAGACACACAGGAGCAAAGGAGAAATGGGAGAAGTCGTGCGAGAAAACCCACAGAGATTCGACCAGACTGAATGCACCGAACAAAACACGTGGCAAGGGCCAGGGATGTAGCTCAGTGGTAAAGTGGACCTGGGTTCAGTTCAGTTCTCAGCAAACACACACACACATCCCAGATAATTAAAGGATTAGGAGGTTAGTGCTATGTAATCTGGAAAGTTTCTTTGTTCTCCTGCTCTTCATCAAAAGGGGATGCAAGGAGACTGTTTATAAACAACTTTCTCCCTGGAAGGCAGAGTGATTTACAAATGGGTTTCCCACCTCCTCTCTGCAAGACAGAGGGAAACACTATTTTCAAAGGAACAAATGGGACAGAGAAACAACAACAACAAAAAAATTCATAGTAAGCAGTTTGTCCCACATCCCGGAGAGTTCCATTTTCTGGGGCCTGACTGGCCCACTGATCGGCTAAATGAAGCCTCTGCCTTGCGCCCCAGCTCTTGAGGTGAATCCTGTGTTTCCCAAGTCCTCAGGTTTAGCCTTATCCCATCTGCACGCCTGTCCTGAAATTGTGCTTTACGACACACCTCCCACGGCAGGAAGGAGCAGCACCCAGGGCTCTCAGAGGACCTTGCTGCTAGCCTTACCGGTAGAGTGGCCAGTTTATTGCAGGACAGATCCAGGACAGTGGCCTTCGGGAGGGCAGCCTAGGAGAAGAAGAACAAAACGTCAGACTGACACAGGGAACTGCTCGGGGACACTGCCAGTGAAGCTGGTCCAAAGAAAGTTCCTGCAGCCAGGAATGGCCCTGGGGGAAATGGCACCAAAGGCATAACATTCCTGGAGAGGAAATGAGGAGCAGCCAGGAATGACCCAGAAAAGACGGCAAGGGGAAAGGGACTGGCTGGGGGATCTCTAGGAAAGGAAACAGGTTCTTAGAGAGTCTCTATATCCCCCTGAAGCTGTTCCTAGCACCCTCCTCAGGAGCCTCAGGAGCTCTGAGCCCCTGTCTAACCATCTAAGCATCTGTAATGCCCACCATCCCAATACGGGGGCTTCCGGCACCAAAGTATGTGACAGCTGAGTAAGGACTAATGAGTGAATGAATGAATGAATGAATGCCCGCTGATGTGGCTCCAGGCCTCCAGTCCCTCTCTATCCATATCCTGTGAGCCCAGGCTGCAGAGACGTGGCCAAGTTACTTCCTCCTCCCTGCCGCCAGGGTGGACAGGCGGGACCAAGGGCACTCGTCTTCCCGGAGGGGAAGTTGGTGGGCCAAGAGGCAACTTGATGACGGGGTGGCCAACTGCATGCTTAGGAAAGCCTGAAGGATGAGGTCTGCCTATCGTAATGGCTTTTCTTAAAGCCTGGCTTGCTCTTTCAGCCCATGTTCTCCTCTGAACCCCTATCTCTGTCTTTCTGCCTTTTTTTTTTCCACTCTGGAGAAGCCCCTGTTCTCTCTTGAATATGTATTCCTCTCTTTTTCTCCCCTCACATCCAAGTAAATCATGTTCACTAAAAACTATCTTGCTTCTCTCTCACCCCCCCACCCCCGCCTGCCCAAGAAACCTCAACTATTCCAGGGGTAACCGCAAGCCCGATACCCAGTACTTGACAATCTTCCTCCACCCTCAGGCCAGCTGCGGAGGGGACCCACTGCCACCCTATCATAAATGGCGGCAATCTAGGAATAAAGGTTAATTTGCGTGCCAGGGCCCCTGGGCTCTACAGCAAAGGCGCTGGGAGCTGAGCCCGGAATCCCGGCCGGCCGGAGCGAGGAAGGCTGGGCCGGGCGCCAGCGCCTAAGGTAACCGGTAGAAGGCAGGGGGGGCCCCCCGACAGTGGGGCTCCCGGCAAGTCGGCGGCCCGCGGGGAGCCAGGGAGGCGCCGACGAGTTCTCCGGGGCCACCTGGGCCCCCAAATTAGTTGTGAAACCTCCGGGGGTGGAGGTGGGGGGGTGCTCGAGCTCAGTCTGGGGCTTTGAGGAGGAGGGCGGTGGGGTGCGCGGCCGATTCCCGCCAGTTTCAGCCCAGCCTCCAAGGAGACCCAGCCAGGAAGGCCCGGGGCAGTGGCGCGCGCGGGGCGGCCGCTGCCTGCCCAGCCGGTTCTGGCCACACCCAGGCCTTCGGGCAGGCCCGACAACGCCAACCGAGTCATTCATTCATTCGTTCATTCATTCTCCCAAGGCGGCCAGAGAGCGCTCGCGGGGGGCGCCCACTTGGCTCGGGGCGCGGGGCAGGCCGCACAGGGAGTCCCAGACCACACCCCCCCGAGCCCCCCACTTCCCACCCTATACGGGGGGCTGGGGGGAGGTCTCACTCCGGACCCGGCAGCTTTTTATTCTTGCGGGTGCGCAGAGCGCGACTCCCCAGTTCCTGGAAGCGCTTCCAAGTCACACGTGTACAGCGCAGGGGGAAGAAGGGGGGCTTAGTCCTTGTCCCCTCCCCTCCCCTCCCTCCATCCCCAGTCCACGTCCTCCGGGGACGGAGACGTGGAAACTGAGGCCAGGCGAGGGGGCGGCCCCGCGCAAGGCTCAGCGCCGGGCGCGGTGTCCCGGCGGGCGCGAGCACTGACCAGCTCCTTGACCGGGACTTCATTCAGGTCGCTGAGGCTCAGGTCCAGCTCGTTGCCGTCCAGCTTGTCGCGGAGGTTCCCGCCCTTACTACCGGCCTTGGTCATGGTGACGCCAGCAGAGAGGATCCCGGCGCCGGGGCTCCGACGGGCAGGAGCGGGGATGCTCAAGTGCGGGGCGGTTCGGTGGGTTCACAGCCAACCGACAGCGCCGCTGGCCTCTGCTGCAGGAGGTGGCGAGCACGGTCACCCGTCCGCTCGCCGGCTGCACTCTGAGCCCCGCGCCCCGCTCCCACCGGTGCCACTGCGACGACGACCACTTCCGTGTCCACGTCACCTTCCGCGACCACTGAGAAGGGCTGGGCCAGAGCGGCGCCAGAGCGTGCGGGAGCGCCCTCTAGTGCCTCAAATCGTGCTCTGCAATCGCCGCCGCCGCCGCCGCCCGGGGAAGAGCAAGGGTTCGAGGCTCCGGAGCGCCCAAGTTGCAGCGGCGCGACCTTGAAAGCGCCTCCACGGGCGTCTTCTCTGGCAGGGCCAAGTGCCAGGAGGCCAAAGAGCACGGATTCTGGGCCAGAAGACCTGAATTCCTGTCCAAAACTGACCTCACCAGATCACTCCCATTTCCAGGATCCAAGGCAAGGAACTGGATGTTCTTCAAAATTGCTCCCTGTTTAGGATCGGAGTGATGGTGCAGCAGGTAGGGTGTTTACCTTGCACACCACTGACCTGGGTTCGATCCTTGGCGCCTCCTAGGGTCTCCCGAGCAGGAGTGATTCCTGAGTGCAGGCAGAGCCTGGAGTTTATCCCTGAGCATAGCTGGGTATGGTCCAAACAAACACAAATCTAGATTCGCTTAAAAACAACGACATGTTACAGGACCAAAGAGATAGCACAGTAGGGTAATGTGCTTGTTTTACATGCAGCCAACCCCTGCACAACCCCTTCTACGACATATTACTCCCTGACAAGGGAATGATCCTGGAGTGTAGAGCACCAGAGACAGCCCCGAGCACTGGCTGAGATCTTCACTCTGGGACTCTGGATTCTTTTCTTTTTTTTTTTTTTCTTTTTGGATTTTTGTGTCACACCCCGGAAAGCACAGGGGTTACTCCTGGCTTTGCACTCAGTAATTACTCCTGGTGGTGCTCAGGGGACCACATAGGATGCTGGGAATTGAACCCGGGTCGGCCACATGCAACGTGCAAGGCAAACGCCCTACCCGCTGTGCTATCGCTCCAGCCCTGACTCTGGACTCTTGAGTTTGTCTCCCTCCCATCAGCCCCCACTTAGCCATTCCAAATGAGACCTTTCCCATGCTGCCTGGAATTTCCCTGTTTGCTTTCATTTTCTAATAAAAATCTTTTCTGAGTTCGAATAAAACTTAAAATTAGATAAGGAGACAGTTCAAGTGGTGGAGCAGAGCAAGGCCCAAGTTTGATCCCTGCCACCTCATGGTGCTCCAAAACCGCACCTTTAAGGGCCCAAAAATGTCTTCCAGACCTCCAGCTACTTCGAACATATGGACTGTCCTTTTTTATGTTGTTTGTTTGGGGGCCACATCCAGCAGTGCTCAGGATTTACTCCTGCCTCTGAGTTCAGGGATCACTCCTGATGGAGCTCTGGGGACCAAACCTGGGTTAGCTGCATGCAAGGGAAGCATGTACTACCCACTGTACTATCTCTCTGGCCCATATGGATGGTCTTTGTGCTTCACCGGGCCTTGTCTGATACTACAGCTTCAGGACTAACCCTCCAGTCCCTCCGGATGTGGGATGCTGAGTACTTTTCTGGGGTTTCACTCTTCTCCTTCACCAGGAATGTCATACCTTTCCCCCCACCCCCCCCTAGCTAACCTCTAGTCTTCCAGGAGCCTTCTCTGACCAACTGGAACTCCAGGCTAAGTTTGGTGCCCAAGCAATATTCTCTGAGTTGCTTTTTTATCAAGTGGGAGTGAGCTTGGTTGCAAAGGCCTCTGGCACTAGGCCAACCAAGTGTGCATGAATTTCTTACTCTAGTCGAAGGCCTGGGCTTGACCTCCAGGACCATATAGCCTCTTGGGCATCCCTAGGATTGACTCCACACACAGATCCAGGAGCAGCCTCTGAGCACTTCTGGGTGTGGCCTCCAAATAAACAGAGAGAGAGAGAGAGAGAGAGAGAGAGAGAGAGAGAGAGAGAGAGAGAGAGACCCTGCCTATACAACTTACTACTTATGAAGACTTAAACAGTCCCCTTGCCTTATCTATGGGTGCTTGAGAAATGTGTATAATGGTATTCAACAGGCAAGTTTTACAAAGATAGAACGGAACACATGAAGAACTTGTTGCAATGACCAGCACTTAGCTATGACTCAGAATTCACCCAATTTTATGTCTCATCTTTATGGATCTGTCATACTCTGAAGGCTGAGGTTCTGTTTCTGTGACCTCAGTGTCTGTGTTTCTTTCACTGCCCATAGAATGAATGAAGCTCTTTATGTCCACTCCCTATCTCGGTGTGAAATGGGGATTTTAGAGCTTATTTCAGAAAACTGTGAAACCAGAGGAAGGAAGTTCCATGGCCTAATCATATAATATCATTGGGTGTCCCTTCCACATTCCTCCAGCAAGGAGTGCCTCCCAATCTTTTGGAACTGCATTTTGGGGAATGAGATCAGGGCAAGTGAGCAGTTAGACATTAGCATTTAGCAATCTCCGAAGCCCTGGAGCATCCCTGATGAGATTTTGATCATGTACAGCATGTCCTTGGCTGTTTCCTTCAAAGTCATTTCCTTATAATGTTGATGACGAAGAAAATAGATTCCTGGTCAGGGCCATTGTGGAGTGTGTGTGTATATCTTGAGTATGTGTTGGCGGTGGGGGTGGGGGTGATCTCTGGGAATTTCCTGCCACATTCTAAACAGGTGCCTGCTTGGATTCACTATTGTGACTCAGTTGTCCACTTTGAGTGAACGTTTGTGCATCTTATCTAGGATATTCCTACCCTGTGCCCTGAGATGCTGGGATGTGCTCTGGCTACTCAGACCCTGACTTGCAATAAGCAGATTGAAAAGTGAATACGTGAATCAGCATGATCACTTAATACCAGGAGTGTTTGTGGTCTTTATTTAGCTTGATGAGTTTTATTTGTTTTGTTTAGGGGGCACACCCAGCTGTGCTCACTCAGGACGTCTTCCTGGCTCTGCACTCAGGTTTCACTCCTGGTGGTGCATGGAGAGCCAAAGGGGAGGCTGGTGATCAAATCTCTGTTGGCCGCATGCAAGGCAAGTGACGTACCAGCCATACTATCACTCTGGGCCCAAGTTTGGTGACGAGTGTTTTATGGCCAGAACTATGTCTTAAGAAGCAACTCTTTTTTACATCAATTAGCGTATAAATATTCAGTTTCCAAGAACTTACTGATAACCTTGATGGTCAAAAAACTTATTGATAACCTTGATGGTCATGAAGAGACTAGAAGACACATATTTTGTTTGGTGGGGGGTTACTCAGCTATGCTTGGGAGCTACTCCTGGCTCTGTTCTTGGGAGTAGTCTCTCGAGGCAGTGCTCAGGGGACCACGCAATGCTAGATCCAGCCTGGATTTTCTGCATACAAAGCATGTGCCTAGTCCAAAGCATATTAGCTCTGTTTTAGGAAGGAAGTCAGAAACTACTTGTCCTCAGTCATATAGTGGATGGAGGGGCAGAAGTTCTTTCCTCTTGGAGCCAGAGAGGAAGTACAACCTTAAGGCACTTGCCTTGAATGGGGCCAAACTCATTCAATCCCTGGCACTGCATACGGACCCGCCCGCCCATCCAGGAGAGATCCCTGAGCACATAGCCAGGAGAAAACCTTGAACACCACCGGGTGCAGCTCCAAAACAAACAAACAAACAAACAAAAATTATATTCTCTTTCCTACATTCCTATTTTCCCTAGACCGAGGGAGTACACAGCCAAGGCAATTAATTATTAAACATGGAAGAAAGGGTATGAGCCCAGCCTATACAGATAAAATCTATGTGAAGGTATGGAGGACGTGGGTATGTATGAGTGTGGTCATGTTAGACTAGCATGTCATAACATTCCCTGTGTCTAGCAGTGATTTACATATTTCTTCTTGGTTTTGAGTTTTTTTTTAAATTTTGGCTTTTAGGCCATACCCAGCTGTTTTTGGGGTTTACTCCTGGCTGTGAACACTGGAATCAGTCCTAGTGGGGTTCATGGGACTTTAGAAAGTGCCAGGGATTGAACCAGAGTCAGCTTTGTCCTCTTTACCGTCTCTTTACATTTATTCTTTCTTTATTTGGTTTTTGGTTTTGAGGCCTAGACCCAGAGATACTACTCCTGACTGTGCTAAGACATCATTTCTGGTGAGGGTCAGGGACTGTATATGGTGCAGGGGATCAAACCCACGTTGGTTTTATGCAAAGCAAGGGCCTCAACCCCTGTACAATCTCTCTGGCTTAGAGAGTTATTCTTTCTTCTAAACCAGTTTATCAAGATCAGATTGCCTAGTTCTTTAGGGCAATGTTGAATAGCCCTGTCACTAGGGCCATGATTTCAGAGACTCTTCAGAGGAGGCATCATTAACGATGCAGTGGGTCTGAACGACTTCAGGTTCTTGTGGACAGCGAGTAAGAATAGCACGCTGGACCATCAGATGTCTTACAGCTCTCTCATCATACATGCATAGGGACATTTCTGTGAATTGACTCTTCACTCAGCAAAACAGCAGCAATAATAGCAGGATCCTACCAGCACTGGCACCAATCCGAACGGACAACCCCCATATACAATAACCTGAGCCTGTATACATTATTGCATCCCCACCCTTTATCTAAGTAACTATGCCTTATGTAAATAAGGGCTGTGGAACTGACCAATCAGATCACATACACAAAACAGGAACCAAACAGAAGCTTCATTATCTGGCCTCCTTCTCCTCTCAGTCACTACCTAACATTTAGAATGGATGGGGGCAGGGGTATGTGGGTGGTGGTGGAGTGATAATACTGCAGGTAGGGAGCTTGCCTTGCATGCAGCTGACCTGGGTTTGATCCCCAGGCCTCATATGTTCCCCCAGCCCCTCCAGGAGTGACCCATGAGCCCAGAGCCAGGAGGAATCCCTGATCACAGTTGGTGGTGTGTTCCCCTCCCACCTCAAATAGAAAGTATGAGGAAGGCTAGAGACACAGCAGTTAAGGCACTTGCTTTCCAAGTGGCTAAGCCTGTTTGATACCCAGCACCACCACAT